ATTCTTTCTAGATAGCTGTATCTTGGTTTAATTTATTTTTGCGAATTTTCTCATTTAGAGCCTCTTGTGACTCTATAGAATAGTAACCAATTAGCAGTTCTAATGTCTCAGATATCTGCACTTCATGTTACAAGAGTTTTTGAATCACATACCCTGTGGAGGAGTTGAAGTAGATGTTTCTTTCACAACTAAATCCTCAGTATAGCATTTGTGTCTCTCATTCTTAATTTCATGAAATGAAGAATAAATACCTGCATTATGTATTATTAATAAATTTCTAATAATTTGATACGAAAAAATGTTACCTTTCTGATATCAGAAAGGTAACATTTTTTCGTTTTTCAACTTTTGTAGGGGCTCTCAAGGGATTTCAATTTTGATTTAAAGCTGAAATCTTTTTGTAACTATATATTTGGAGATCTACATTCTCCAAAACGTTTTAAGTAAATAGAAGACAAATCTCTTTTAAAAATATGGTGTCGGCAGGCGCACCAAGATAAATTTTTGTTAAAATGTTCTTCAATTAACTTTTGCAGAACCATTTATCCAACCTGAATTTGATGGAGTTGTGTCAAAAAAAGCCTCAAATGTTTTTTCTATTTTATATGCCTTTACAGCATTTATGGTAGCTGTTACCAGACTTTGCCCAGTTGTATCAGGAATCCTGCGTACACGCAACGATTTCCCTTCAGGTGCATATGGTTTTCCTCATTCAACAACAGCCAAACGTTCCACTTTACCATTGACCTCAGATACCAACTTTGAATCCCAGTGAATGGAAGAGTACTTGGGCAAAATGAATGTTTTTTTAAGATCATCTGAAACTTACTGTCGAATTTTATTACCTGATCTGTTCCTATCTAAATTGTTACCTAATGCTTCAGCTAAAATGATTCCAGATCTTTCTCTGTTGGATAGATTCAACCTATCAACCATTAAGGAAACTTTAGGGTTTTCTAATATATTGATTTTTTTTTCTGCCTAGCAATAGTACTTTTTTCAATTTTATTATGAGTTTTGTCTTCATTATTAAATGCTTCCAATACATTGAAACTTTTTTCTTTTATGTTTTCCTTTTTATATTTCATTTTTCCAATAGCCTTGATTTTATGTTTCTCTTTTTCCTCCTTTCTTTTCACTTTCATAGCATAACTCTTGTTTAATGGGTCCAAAAATTGCTTTTTTAAGTGTCGATGATCTGAGAGAAAGTCTACATCTGAAATCTGACTATTGATACTACGCGAGGAATCTTTTCTTATCAAATTTTCTGCATTTGTTGCTGCAATATCAAACAAAGATGATAGTTTATTAGTAAAACTCAGAAATTGAGCTGCATAACATTTTTTTTTTGCATTTTTAATCAAGTTCTCTCTAAGATGAATTAGATGCAGTATCATTCTAACAATATCTTTCTTCTGTTTTATTGGAATTCCTGCCATTTTCCAAAAAACATTAACTTTTTCCCAAACTACAGACGCAATTTCTTTTTTACCAGTTAATTTCACGTCAAATCTTGTAAGATAAAGATAATGGAAAACAACATCTCCATTTGTTGGTAGTTGACTGTACATCTTTGCTTCAAAAGTAGGTAATACCTGATACCAAGTTTTTAAATAGATTTAATATAGATCGGTATATAAATACCTAAATTTCGTTAGAGAATCGATAAATAAAGATTAAAACAATCTTAGTGTGATAAAAATTAAATTATTCAATATCATTATTTACTGTGGCGGATTAAGACTTCTTGGAGTCTGGGGCTATTTTTATTTTGGAGGCTTTTTTATGGGCCAGAGCCTAGAAATGACTAAAAAAAGGTCCTCTAAAATTTTTGAGGGCCCCTAAATTTGCGGAGCCCGGAGCTATAGATGAAATTTGCTGGGCTAGAAAAGAATTGGCAGATGACTTAAAAGATTGCAAACTATCTGAACAAGAAAATTAAGATGAATAAAGCAAACTCCAAAGAACTGATGTTCGAGAAAAAAACTAGACTATTAAGAGTTTTTGGTATACCAACAATATTATCAAACTTCTCATCATTTTTCCTCAATTTACTATTGCTCATAACTGATCAATAGGTATTATATTAGGCGCTTTGAGGCGTCTTTCTTTACGTAAAGAAATTAAATGCAATACTTTGTAATTAATATAAAGCGTGAATATATCAGTAAGTTTACGCGCTTATAAAAGTAGAGTTGTTTAACTTTTCATTTTATAAAAGTACGCAATAAAACTGCTTGGTTTTATATTTAATATAAAAGACGACAGTGATGTTAACGATTCTATAAAAAAATTAATTGAAATACTTGATCATATCTTAAACAAACATGCTATAAAAAAATATAAAAATTTTTAATATAGTTAAACGTAATCAACCTTGGGTAACGAAAGGTATTCTCAAGTCAATAACAATTAAAAATAAACTTCATAAAAAATATTTAAAATCAAAAAACTGTGGATTAAAAAATATATATTTTAAAAAATTTAAACACTATCGTAATAGTATAAGCAATCTTATAAAATTTAGCAAAAAGAAATATTACACAAATTTTTTTAGCCACAACATCAATAGCATGGAAAGGTATAAAGGAGTTTATAAATGTGAAACAAAATATTAGTAATTCCCTAACAAGCATACTCATTAACAACAAATGCGAAACCAATCCTAAAATGTCAAACCATTTTAATAAGTTCTTTACCACGATTGCTTCAAAACTATTCTACGAAATTCCAAATTCTAAATTCAACTGTCGTGAGTACTTGACCAATTCTACTAGCAACTCTTTTTATATGCAACCAATAACGAAAGAGGAGACTCTCAATTATATAAATTCCACTATTATAGAAGGGAGGAGTGTTGGACCAAACAGTCTTTCAACAAAACTTTTTAAACTGGTGTCAGGAATTCTATGTTAAACTAATTAGTATCATTTTAAACAATTCATTTCGCAAATGAACATTTCCTGAAGCCTTTAAGCTCGCTCAAATTATTCCGATTCACAAAAAAGGATCTACAATTGACTGCATTAACTATCGTCCAATATCTCTTCTTTCTAATGTAAGCAAAATATTTGAAAAAGTTATGCATAATAAACTATACAACTTTCTAAACCAAAATCAATGCTTATATAAACACCTGTTTTGTTTTTATAAAAAGTATTTGACGGCTCACGCTCTTATTGAAATTACAGAAAGTATAAGAGTTGTTCTGAATGATTGGCAACTTTGCTTATGGAGATTTTGTTGATTTGCAAAAAGCTTTGACATCTTAGACCACGAAATTCTCCTCTCAAAGCCTAACTATTATAGTGTACGTGGCATGTCCTTGCAGTGGTTCAAATCATACCTTTGATCTTCTGACCGTCAACAGTTTGTAACTATAAATGGAACCAGCTCAGATATTAAAAACGTTTCAATTGGTATACCTCAGGGATCCATATTAAGTCTTCTTCTCTTTATTATCTATACTAATGATCTTAATCTTTCGATCAAACATTCAAAAACGTTTTATTTTGCTGATAATACTAATCTTCAATTAATAACGAACTCTCTCAAAAAACTTAATAAATTTATTAATCAGAATATAGCCGGTCTTGTTCAATGGCTTAGAGCAAATAAAATTTTATTGAATACTAAAAAATCGGAAATAGTTATAATTATGACGCGAAATACAAACTTTTTTTAAAAAACTAAGAAAAGTATTCCAAAATACTTGAACTTTCGATTAAGTGGTCAAAAAAAGTATTTGTCTAGTAACATAACTTATCTTGGTGTTGTGTTAGATGAAAATTTTTTATTCAAAACACACATATCCGACCTTACTCTGAAGTTAAGCCGTTCCAACGGCATTAAAGTTAATTTTGAAACATTTCACTCTATATATCACTCAATTTTTGGTTTACATTTACGATACACATGTCAAGTTTGGGGACAATCTAAAACCGTATTTCTTTCTAGAGTTGTTTCACTTTAAAATAGATCGGTATGGATTATTCATTTTTGTCCGAGAAATTTTCCTACTGACATCCTATATCTTACATCCAAAATCATTCGTTTCTATGACTTAATTCAGTTCTTAAATTGTTCCTTTGTCTGGGGTCAACAACATGGTATCCTTCCTCCTATATTTCGCAACTACGTTAATAATTGAACAACGTGTGGGCATAACCTAGATCAGTCATTTATAACATTTATAACTTAACTCTCCCACTAAAACAGACAAGTAAACGTGTAATTAACTCTATTACATACCAGTGTACTCTTTCTTGGAACTCCCTTCCGATTACACTAAAATCAGGTCTCATCCTTAGGTTCAAGAATCTGTTCTTAAAGTCACTCCATTATTTCTACCTAAAAGGTTACGCTTAACTTTACTTTTTACCTTTTTACTTTTTACCTTTTGACTTATTTTTTATTTTAATTATAAATTATTATTTTATTATAATTTTATTTCTAATATTTTATTTTAAATAATTATTTTTATTATAATTTACTTATTTTATTATAATTCTTGTTTAAGTGTATGTGCAAATATAAATTTACATTATATTAGTTATGTTATATTTATTCAAAAAGTCTGATTTCTTGGTATAATTAAATAAATTTTTATGCAATTTTACTTTTATGAGTTAATATTATGTTATCTTAATTTTCTTTTTTAATCTACTTTTTTTATGTACTTTTACTTATTACATATTATTATTTATGCACTTTTTACTTATTATTTTTTATGTACTTTTACTTATTACATATTTTACATATTATTATTGTTATTATTACTTTTTATCTTATTTAGGTCATTGCGCTTAATTAGTGAATCACTATTTGCAATAACCTGTGTTTTTGTAACATCTGTAACACGAAATATAATGTTATTGTTGTTGTTTATGTTGTTGTAATAAATCGGTAGTTTCTTATTGATTCAACAACTTTATCCGAGAAAACTTTTATAAAAATTCATTGCTATTGAATAAATTTTTTTTTTTGTTTGTTTGCTTAGTATCTAGGTGTTAAGCAACCAATCAAAACGCAGGTGTAACAGTGTTGCTTAGCAAAACGCTATCTTGTATCGGTAAATACCAAAATAGCTTATTCTTTCTCAAGCAGGAAACGCACATCAAAATATAAAAAGAGCTATTTAAAAAAAATAACGTAAAATGAAAAGATAATTGAGGCACTTGAGGAAAAAGTAACGATTTGCTAAAAGTTGTTGTTTTTTTATTTATCAAAACTTTAAATTTTAGAGCGTTGTTTTCAACAACAACAACAAAAAAAAGTTGAACAAAAAAAAATCTAATGCTTAATACTTCGCTTTTATTTACGGTTTTTTTTGCTATCGCGGTGATATTCGCTATAATCTTAAATATAATTGTTCTTTATGGATTAAACCTGCGATACCACAAACGTACTTTTAAATGTCACGTATGGATAGCTTTATCAGTTTTTGACTTTGTTCGAAATGTTTTTGAAGCTCCTTTAGAAATTGATGCTATTTTTTATGGAAAGTACCGACTAAGCATAGAATGTTCTGTAATTGGCTATTGCAGTAAATTTTTAGAACTTTCCTCAATTGGAATGTTAACGGTTATTATTGGTGAACGCTACATCAGTATTTGTCACCCAGGAATGTTAATAAGATATTATGGAAAAAGAGCTTTCTCGTTTACTTGCGTCTCATTTTGTATATTTTATGCCGCATTTTGGTCATTTATGCCTTTTTTTGGAATCGGCGAATTTGTGAACAATAACGAGTATTGTTATCTTCAAAATATAACCAAGCCAAGCGTGGTTTTTATGTACAAACTAAGTTTGCTTGCTTTTGCAGTTTTATTACCAGTTTTCATACTGTTTTATTGTAGCATATCAACACTTAGAGAATTTAAACAAGCAAAAGAAAGAACCATAAATGTGTTTGGAAACGTTTATTTAGCAAATGACTGCCAAAAAGAAGAAAAAGAAGCGTTGTTGTTAATAATTATGACCGTCATAATGGCTGTTACTTGGGTTTCGTATTATACAATCCACTTAGTCCTTGCTAATCATGCGATTAATAAGAAGGTTATATTTACAGGAGAAATTTTTAGTCAGTTAACAACGGTATCCACTCCTTTTTTCCTGATATTAACAGACAAAGGTTTTAAAGCGACACTAAGTAGAGTCTTTTTAAGAATTTTTCATAAAATTAGCTTTAAAACTAAACGCCACGTGACCGTAACTTCCACACAGCTTTTCAAAATTAACAAAAATATCAAAGAAAAAAAATATTCATCACAATATACAAGCAGAGTTGGTAAATTTACCAGACATTCAGAAATTGAAATGGATCATAAAATACAATTTGAAGATGTAATGAGAAATGTGACAAAATGAGGCCATTGTTGATATTTGACATTCTTGTTTGATATTTGTTCTTAGTAAAATATTATAAAATAGAAAAAGTAGGGTTTTTATTTCGAAGAAGTGCTCTGGCTTGTGGGTCGGAGCCCTCTTCCCCCCACTAAAAAAAATAAAAAACATAATATTAGGGTCCCGAAACCTAAAAAATGTTTCTATTAGATATTACTAAAAAAAAAATTCTTAAATTAACAAAAGGACTCTAATATTTTTCTAGGACCTGCCTCCTTCCTAATTGGGATGTGTGGGGTTGCCTAGCCACGGTTCTGTTTGCAAGTTAAAATGTTTTCCTAATATTTGCAAGTCAAGTGATTACAATTCTTGTAGTGAAAATCTTTTTCAACATTTTTTTTCAATATCTTAAGCAATACTTTTGATACATAACAATATTTTTCATAAGAAACCAATAAAAAAGTTCTGCCTAACAAAAATCCATTATAAACATAACACTTATTTCTGCACTCCTATATAATAGTGTATTATGATGTATTTTGGTTAGTTATAAAGTTTTTTATTATAGTTTGATTATATACTTATAATAAAAGTTTATTATAATAGCTTTAAACTTTATTAAATAATAACAAGAAGAAAAGATCCTATAGGATCTTTTCTTCTAAAATATATATGTAAAAATGTATATATTTTTAATAATTAAATACAAATATTTTTTTGTACAAAATTTTAAAAAATAAGTTGATTTCGTTACTAAAATGGGTTTTTTACAATATATATTTTTGTTGCTATTTTCGAAAATAATTCTTAATCAATCGTTTGTTTGATAAATTTTTTTGCCACTTAAATATAAAAGTACAATAGATATTTTGAGACAAATACAGATGGCCGGGGTAACAAAAATAGATGGCCGAGGCAAGATGAAGACACCAATTGTCTTATTGCCACGCAATAAGACAATTGTATTTTGTAAAAAAACCAAACATATTTTGTAAAAAAAAAAAAACATAACTTTAGCAAATTGATAGCAATGAATAGAGCACCAAGACTACGTTTAGTTTTTTTACTGAAATTACAGTCAAAATGATTTAAAACGCAAGATTGTGGTTAATACATTCATTATTTAGAGAATGGCATGCACCAATCACAATGAGACGGGGGTATGACTAATAGTAATGAAAAATACATTTTAGTAGCGTACGTTTTGATGACGTCAAATTGTTTGTTTGTCCGAATATCAATCCCACAACCGCTAGAAACTCTTTTGTTGCCGTGCAATTATTGTCTGAATATCATTTCCAAAAGGCTTTGCTTAACTGAAAAAAAAACTCTATTTTTAAAACACAAACTTTACGCTATTGAAACATTTATACAATTTTATCTTTATATACTTTTCCTTCTATTGTTCACTTATAATAGTAAACATTAATAAACCGACTGACTGACCATCCAATGATGTCACTAGGTGGTCGCCTTCTTTTGTGCCATACATATACTTTTAAATCAAAAAAATGTCTGGTGTTTAAGTGGTCCAAGTTATGCCGTAAGTGGTCCAAGTTATGCCGTATACAAGACATCTCCATCTAATTAATGTGATATAAGCACTTTGTGCAGCTCGCTGGTGTATGTTCAACTTAAAAAATCCATGTAATTAATATTTAGTTTAATCGATCGATCAATTCAATAAATCTAATTAAAGTTATTACCGGTTTTTACATCCATTCAAAACAATAATGACAACCATTTAAAACAACCATGACATTCATTTAAAACACCGCGACAATCAATTAAAACAATGTAATTTTCAATTAAAACAATCGTGATTTTCAATTAAAACATTTAACGCATGCGCAACCTCAACATTCTATATTATTTTAAAAAAAAGGTCTTCTTTATATATTTATTTATCTAATATTACATAAATTTATTTTTATTAATATTATATTAATTTATTTTAATTTAATGGAATTTATTTTAAATTTGAATGGATGTCACGTTTGTTTTAAAATGGATGCAAAACCATATTTTTTTTACATGTTTTTTATACACATACTGTATTGGCAAAACAACCATGATGTCCAATTAAAACATGCATAATGATAATTAAAACAACAACGATTTCAGAATCCATCATAATGTTGAGATGAGGGCTCAGAACATTCAAATAAAATATTTGCCACCATACTCACCATTCTTGAATCCGTGTAAAGAGATTTTTTTTTATCTTAAGAATAACGTGCGAAGAAATACGGCCCCAGCTGGAAGAAATGAACTAATTTCAAGAATGCGTGAGGCATGCTTATCTCTTCCTTATCAAACTATTACACACACTGCGAAAGCTTTTTCGAAGCGTGTCTTAGGTCAGAAAACATACTCGACAGTAATTGAAAAATAAACATAATTTAAATAAAATAAAATTTAAAATTTTTTTAAAAAATCGAATAAAAAAAATATAAAGTAAACCTTTTTTTAAAAATGATATAGAATGTTGAGATTGCGCATGCGTTAAATGTTTTAATTGAAAATCACGATTGTTTTAATTAATAAATTACATTGTTTTAATTGATTGTCGCGATGTTTTAAATGAATGTCATGGTTGTTTTAAATGGTTGTCATGATTGTTTTAAATGGATGTAAAAACCGGTAAATTACAAATACTCAAATTTTAATTGTAGATTAACACATCGTTGCATGAAAACAATTAGGCTTTATTTGACATTTTTTATGTTTTGAGAATTTAACTCTCGATATTTCATTGTTATAATATTTTACTGTTTTTTTTCTTCATAATTAAATACCATGTTAATGTTCATAATTATTTCTATCGTAAACAACATCTTTTTGATTTGCTTAATAGCTCATTAAAAAAAAACACAATCATCACAACCTGAGTCTACTAGGGCTTGCAATCCGAATTGCAAACTTTAGTAGAGGTACTCTGCAGCGACAGATCGCGTGCATCTACAGTAACATATCGCGTTTTTTGTATTGCAGAAAATACAAAATTGATTAATATTTTTATGTTTCTATTAGAATTTTAATTTATTTATTTATTTTTTTTTTTTTTTTTTTTTTTTTTTTTGATTTCATGTTTTCTTTTGGTGGTACGGTAAGTGTTTTATTTAGTTATTTTTATTTTTATTTTTGTTTGTTCAGTAAATCTATACTTTTTATATCATATCATCAAAAAAAATATTGGTGCTTTACAAATTTGGGGTTGGTTGGGTTTTGGCTATTTGTAGTGAGTCCTTTTTTACTGCAGTATGGAATAGGCGTAAGTCGCGGGGTAAAGCATAAGTGGCGATGACGTTTGTCTGACGGGATAAACTAGTTATAAATGCTGATCCTCATCGAAACCCCAGTAATAATAGACGCGACTCTGAGGAGATGTTTATTACTTAATCACTACACTAATTATGTTTACACATTAGCATTAATGTTTTTTTTCCAATATTAGTCCTTTCATTGTTGTTAGCATATTTTTAATTTGTTGAATGGTTTTTTGTTTTACAAATTTTTGACTGGTTATGTATTTCTTGTATATTTTAGTTCATATTGGTATTTATAAAATATTTTTTTATTTTTATTTTATATATATATATATATATGTGTGTATGTGTATATATATATATATATATATATATATATATATATATATATATATATATATATATATATATATATATATATATATATATATATATATTATTATTATTATTATTATTATTATTTATTTTTAATTTTTTTTTTTTTATTGTTATTATTGTTGAGTACTGTTTTAATTGTATAGCCTGTCTTATTTATTTTTAAATATTCCTCTATTAATCTTTATTTTTGTCTTGACAACTGTCAAAATATGCTTTGTCTAATAAATACTTCTCCTTTATTTTAATGTACTTCATTTCTTCCCTCAGGCGTTCACTGCTCGTGTGTGACCATTCGGCGAATTTTATATGCCAAAGTTTTTAAATAATAGAACTCTCAAAAACTGGACAAAATAGAAACTCTCTTGATAATACAACTTTCAATCCAATAATTTCTTTGAAATAAGCTTTTTTAAAAGTGAAATAAATTTAAATAGTATAATTATTTTATTACTTTATAAATTATCAGTATATAAAACATCATAAATATTGAATTCAGTCTATTATCTTTATATTCTTATTTGTAATCTAGAATTTTCAGTATTCGATATCCAAATAGTCATTATTGTCAGATAATTACAGACCCCAATCACTATCAGCAGTACTATATACTACACCGTCTCAGTCTTTTGAACGTATACCAACAACTAGCTTCTACATTAACATACGTCGTATAGAGTTTTAAAGTCAACTTGAAATTGAAACCAACTTTTGAAACCAACCAACAATTGAAACCAACCTTCGATATTGCGTTAATTCTGGCTGTTCAAAAGTTAATTAAAAAAGAAAATGGTAAATAAATATAATTGGCTAAAGTCAAATGTAAAAATTGCATTCAAGTTTTAGGCAACCTAGTGGGCACCGAACCAAAAAAAGATATCTTTTGAACGTTCAAAAGATTTCCAAAACGTTCGATACTTTTAAAAGACTTTCAAAAGACGTCTTTTTAATGTCACGTGCCCACTGGAGAAGCTTTAACAAGTCAAAATAGTGAATAATATCAGTGCAAAAATTCAAAATGCAAGATTTGGTTTTGCCAAACATGCACACACTTCATGTAAGAGGCATTAAGCTTAATTGCATTAAAAACCGCCAATCAAATGATAACTTAACTTATTAGTTAAGTTATCATTTGATTGCTTTACGTGAATAAAAACAGTTAATCTAAAAACAAAAAAAAAAACAGTTATCTTAAACAGTTTTGCTCAAATTTTTATTCACGTAAAGTTATACTCAGTTATTGTTCAGCTTTACGTGAATAAAGTTATTGCTCAGCTTTACGTGGAAAAAAAAATAATTACGTAAATAAAACTTAAGCAAAATTGAAGAAGTTTTTATTTGTAAAGCTGACCAAATACTAACTAAAAGTATATGCTTATTTTTATTCACCCGGCCTAATATCACAAGAATAAAGTCCGGATATAGAGTAAAACATTTTTTTTTTTTTTTAAATTAAATAAAGTTTCTTGAAAAACTGTAAAAAAACTTATTTGATTTGTATATACTTAATACAAATTGAAGTTCTGTACGTCTTAAAAACAAAAAAAAAAAAAAAATAAAAAAAAAATTTTTTTTGCTGTAAAAAGAAAATAAACTTTTTCATTAAAATTTTGTAACTGATTCATTCGACCCCATTTTAACCTCTATTTCAAGTGCCTTAAATTGGTTTTTACGACATACTTTTATCTAAATTATATTCGGATAAATATTTGTTAAAGTTAACAAAACCAAAAAAATACTCTTAAATATTTTTAAGCTAGATTTTTAGCCTTTTTTTAGAATTTTAATGCATATTAAGATCCGGAGTTGTACCCACTCAAAAAACTTATTTCTAAAAAAAAAATATTCAAGAATAATAAATGTTACAAAAATTATAAATATTTACAAAAATACCAAGACTGAAATCTTTAAGAAAACTTTCTACTTTACGAATGCTTGCGCCTGCAATTTGACGTCATTTTATAAATGTCGTTATTACAAAATATTATGTACCCGGCTATAAAGCTACTAACAAGTTAAAGAAAATGAATAAAGCGATTATAAAAGCCGTTTTTCTGTTCGTTTTTGTTAACATTTCTTTTCAAACTGATGTATGGAGTCAATGTATCAGAAAAAATGAATTCCTAGAATGTCTCAATAATCCCATGGGAGAAGTTTTAGATTTAGTGGCGACCCCTAGAGGTGTGGCATTTCTGTAAGTTAAACACAAATTTATATTAATTACATTATTTTGTTTAAGAAATGGATAAGTATCTTTGTTTTCGTTTATCAATAAATTTGGAAATTGTTTAAAAAAACGCGTTAACTTATTTAAAATCTGGAAAACATTTGTAACAACATGAAATAAATGCATATACGACACTAAACAATATGATTAAAATAATTGTAAAAAATAATTTACAATATTTTAAAACCTTTACATTTTGATAGCGATTTCTTTTACAATCAAAGTATACTTTGAAAAATTTACAAAAAAAATTTAATTGCAAAAAAAAAAAGAAAAAATATAATAATCATAAATTATAGAGTTAGCGCGAAAAGGATTGTACAATGCGCGAAATTTGCAACAGTACAGGTCCAATTTCTGGATCGTTTATATATTGACCGCTGTTATTAGGGTTTTCTAACATATCCTCGAAAGCATGTAATATACGAGGATTGGTCATTCCTAGTTGAACCACTGGATGATCCATGATTGCAATATATAATGGTGATTGAGGATCGAGACCCCCATCAGGGGTTACTTCGGCGGTTTGACGATCACCTAACAACCAATCCAAAGCGCGCTCTTGATTATTTGCGCTGTATTTTAAAGCATCCAACACTTCGCTTTCTGAAAATCCCATTTCCTTTAGCTTATTAACAGAGCGTGGATTTGGTACAAACTCTTTTTTTTTAACTAAGGATCGTTTTCCTTTTATTCTACTCTCGGGAATATACGAGGCTAACTCGTCGCTTGTGAGAGGTCTGTCAATATCGACATCTTCAGAATGAAGCAGTAGCCATTCCATGGCTTGAACGGGACACATACGATTTATTATTAATGCTTTGCGACAATGTGGTTCTGAAAAACCCATATCAGTTAATTTTCCTAAGCATAGAGGATCAATCTAAAATTAATATAGAAAATATCGTACAATATATCAAAATTAATATTAATTACATAAAAACTAAATGTATATATTAAATATACATTATTTACTTAAAAAATATATAACTGTTTTGTGTTTTTTAAACTAGAAGTTAAAAAATTAGTTTCTCAAATAAATATTGAAATTGAAAAAAAAAAAATTAAAATTAATTAAAAATGGGGGAGCTAAATTAAAGAAAAACTTAGTGGAGCAGGGAAATTGAATCGATAGATAGAAGAGGAAACAGATCGCAAAGATAATATTGGTCTTTAAAACTGTCATGTAATGTAGTTATGCAATTTTCTGTGATTTTTATGATGGTCTGAAAATACAGATAAAATTTGCCAAACAAAGAATTTCTTAGCAAATTTCATGAAATCTTCCATTAAATTGCATGATTTTTCCTTTATTGCAAAATGTTCAACCAAAACTAAAATTTTTAAAGGAAATTTTTAAAACAACTTGAAACTAAAAGTGAAACTAACAATTAACTTTAACATTTTTTGTATATATATTTTTTTTATTATTTATACCTTATTTATAAATCTTTTAAAAATTATTTAAAACATTATTATTTAAACATGTTATAATTTAAATACTTAAAATTTTTTTATTTTTTTTATTTTTCACTCATATACTTTTAACCTTAACTTGATCTTATTTGGTAGCTAGTGAAAGTTATTCAGACATCAGCAGTGTCAAGGAAGCTATCATTTTTTTTTTTGATAAGCAACAGTACATAACAACATGATCTTTTTTCATTTTTGAAGTTCAACTAACTTTTTTTTCTTGTTAACTTTGATGTATTTTCTTTTGACTTTAGCTCAGATGCAAATATCTGCCAAACTGAAACAATAAATTTAAACTTCTGAAATTATGCTTTCAAGAAATTCAAATTAATTTTCAGCTTTATTAATCCCATTTAATCATATAATAACGTACCAGAACATTATACATAAACTTATAATGTTATCTTGCTTCAATACATATCCCAGAATCCCATGCACTCTTTTGTAATTGGGGATTAGATGACTCTAATGCAATTTTTGTTGTTTGATGATCTTGGTAGTAATTGATTATCAAGCAGGCTGAATGATTGTGTTTATAAAAGCATAAAAATTTTAAGTTTTATTTATTTTTATGTAAATAAACAAATATAAATAAAATTTTTTACTTTATATTTATTTATTACTGAAAAAATTTATTTTATAAGTTCTATATAAATTTAGTTTTAGATGTTTCTTAGCACATTTTTGCTTATTTGTTATATTTTGAAGTTTTTTGTTATCTTTTTAACTTAAATTTTTAGATTATTACAATGAAGAAAAATGATTAGAAAGTTATATAACATTTTTGTAATGTTTTACTGTTACCAAGGTTACCAAAAGTTGATTTTAGCTTACTCAGAAGTAAAATAACTATTAAAATAAACCAAAATAAATTTTCTACACTCGTATTAATACACAAAAATTAAACATTGGAAAAAAAGGATTGACAAGAATATGAAATTTTGTTATTTGAAAATGGATTTTTAAAAAAAATATAATTCCTTTAAAAAATTCAAAATAAAATTAATTTAATTTTAAAAGGTGAAACATTCACAAATTTTCTTTTAATTCACTTTAATAAAAGTATTATTAATTCTACTGATGCATCTTGATATCATCTACTACATATTTATTTATAAATGCAGATCTTTTACCCCTCTGATGCATTCTTTTCCCACCTTAACTAATTTTTTTTTTGTTTAAATTCAGATTTAGTTCTTCGTTTTTAAACTACTTTTTAATGTAACTATCCATATCAACATGTGGCAGGTGGATAGCTGGAGTGAGTTTGTTTTATTAAAGGATAATTTTTTTAAATTCCAACATTATTTTTATTAATTAGAAAAACTAGAAAATAAAAAACCCTTTTGAAACTTTCCTTGAAACAAAGCCCTTGAAAAAACCCTTACTTTTGAAAAAACCCTTATATGAAATCTCCACTTGATTTAGTGCACTTTGGTGCACTAAGGTAGATACTCTGTTTTGAGAAATGATTGGTTTTCAGATATTTGTTTTAAATCTTTCTTTAAGTTATATTTAATCTAAAAAAAACAAAAAAACTATGGAAATAAAAGTTGAAGAAAACATAAAATTTAAAAAATGAAAAAAAACCTAATTATTTAGTAGATAAATTATTTAGCAGATTAAATTTAATTATTTGGCAGATAAGTTATTTAGTAGATAAAATTTTAATTATGGAGTAAATAAAAATACTTAAGGAGTATTTATATTTATTTTTTAAACTAAAAAATATGCAGAGATCATTTATAAAAATCACCCACTGCAATGGCTTCTGCAATTAACACAGAGTTCATTATCTGTTAACATTCATTATTTGTGTTAATTTTTTTAGTTAAATTTCCTTTTGTAGCTTACCTGTCAACTAATTTTGTATGGCAAACAACTGTTGCAATGTCAACTCGCAATTATATGGTTTAGATTTGCAGTGGGTGATTTTTTAAAATGATTTTCGCAATAATCAATGAGTAGCAGAACTAGAACTAAAATTAATCTGGTCTTTCCATTTGATAACTTGCTGTTAACAATTTTTTTTTTAATTTCACCTAAATACTGCTTTAGGTTAACAGAAGGATGTAAATACACAGACCAGCTGGACTCCATACACTTATTTCATTTAAATGATTATGAATCGACTAGTCCAAGTGGCTAGCTGTAAATATTAATTATTTTTAAAAATAACATGTAAATATATATAAATATTTACTATATATAAATAATTTAAAACTATATTTATTATTCAAATTATTACTCTAAATAAAAAAATATACTGGAATATCGTGATCCTCTGCTTCAGTATCTGAATTTTGTTCCTCATCATTATTTACATATTGCAAAAGACTTGCGACTTCAGTTAATGAAATAAGAATCTTCTTTAGTTCACCAAAAAAATCAAACATTCCAGGACATCCTATACCTGTGTTTGTAGCTGCAGTACCTTTCTCTTCACCTATAAGTAAGAAAATTAATTCTTTTTAACATAAAATAATAAAAAAGTTAAAAACATTTTATATTTGATACAAATTATTTTATATTTTAAATACAATTCGTCTAAAAGCACATCAAAATACTTTTTTTATTTTTGAACATTACTTTTGAATTTTAAAAAAAAATTCAAAAAATCTAAAAATTTTTACTGCTATTTTTTCCTTTTGAAATTTCCTCAATAAAAAAAAGCTGCTTAAATAAACACCAATGGACGATAGTCATAGTTAATACCCAACCAGTCTAAGTCTAACAAACATAAGCTTTATGCCGAAATGGATTTTCTAATTAAGAAAACTTAGTCAGAGATAATGTTGAAAACTATAGTCCTGATTCCTTACTTTTCCTATTTGTTTCTGTTCATTATTTTCTTATTTACAATCCTATTTGTCCATTCCAAAAACAATCATTTGCAGTTACACACCATAGATTGTTGTGTTTCAGAATTTTCACAAAAGCACGCCATATTGATTACTTGCCTAACCATAAATTATACTACACAGGACCCTTGATGGCTACTCAAAGAATGAAAAGACTTCTTTTATTAAAGTACCTGATAAAGCACAAAGCAACAGAGTATTTTACAAAAACATCTTGTTTGCAAGTATAAAGACTAGACAAGAAAAGCGCACAGTTGCTATTTCAACCAAATCAAAATTGAGAACACTTTTCGCAACAGTTAAAGAGATAAAAATTGACATCTTCAATTTACAATTACATCATGCCAATAAATAATTGTGATAGGGTAGACGGTAATGATTCTCTCGTTACAACATGTTGAGCTTCATGTTGTCACTTAAAAAAAAAAAGAAATTGTATCCATATTAGAACCCCAGGATTAAGAAAAAGAACTGAACCTTGGTGCTTAACCTGAAACATCTTTTTTTTATCAAAATTATTGTTATGAACAATTTATATATAAAAAAGTCTAATATTATAGAGTAAATCATATTTTGTGTTTACTAGGTATACTTTCTTAATTTTCATTTAAAAAACTCTTTTTATGCCTTTCAATTTGATACAATTTGTTAGCAGTTATTTTTATTACAGTTTTAAGTATTTATAAAAAATTGCTGTTATGAATAATTTCATATAAACTAATAATAATAAAAATTAAATATAATTATAAAAAAATAAATAATAATAAAAACAAAAAATTTTTTTAAGCCTTCCCTAACAGGAATATTTGATGAATTTAACATATAAAAGATATTTGCAATTCCTCTACTTGTTGTTTATGTTGGTCAGGTGATTAAGGTGGTGTAGAAAAGAATCTGATGATGAATGAACCTGATGGTTGGTGTAGAGGTGGTCAGATGATTCTCTTCTACTTGTTGTTTATGTTGCTCAGATGATTAAGGTGATGTAGAAGAGTTTTTGAAGTCAAAGCAAATAGTCTTTAGTGATGAAAGTAACTTTAAATTAAATTTAAAAAATTTTTAAAATAAGAGTTAATAAATAAAATAAAAAAATGTTTTTGATAAAAGGTTTAAATCTAAAAAGTATATTCATTGCTTTGTTGTACCAAGGTTACAAGGTGCCAATGGGAGTGTTGGTATTAAAGGCTTTCATATTTAAGAAAGTGGCAGTTTCAACAAAATATGGCATCTGCCAAAAAAACATGTACAGTCAAAGCATAGATAAAAAAAAGTAAATTTATTGCCCTAGCTAGCTCAATCATCTGATTTGAACCTAACCAAATCTACTTTTTGGGAATTTGAGCAAAAAATTAAACTAAAAACTTTTAAAGCACTGTACATATATTTATAATATATATAATGTATAATATATAATATTTATAATATATATATAATAATAATAACATATGTAATCATATGCATATACATACATACATACATAATAAACAAAATAAATAACCTATATGCAAAGTAGCTTTTTTGATCGCAGGCAAATCTGGCCCTTTGATGCTACTACTTGTATATTTGAAAGGATTACCAGCATCTTTGCGCTTAGGAAAAATTAGAAAGCGATCATCATCAATAAGACCTTCTTGTTCAATAGTTTTTTGGTCTTCTAAAACACGTCGTGGTGATAATAAAATAACCTAAATTAAATTTTTAATACACAATTAAACTTTTTTAATGCATAATTATACAATAATATAAAAAGAATGCATAAAAATATAAATATATTAAGTTATTTTCAAATGGGTATTGGTGCGAATTGTCTAGACCAGTTTTTGAAAAAATGATATAAGTTTGAACTGGCATAAGTGCGCACTTGGTGTAGATGCAAGCTTGCATAAGTGTGAATTGATGCAAAGTAGTTGCAAAAACAGCATAAGTGCAAACTGGCATAAGTGCAAATTGGCACTTAAGGTACACCAAAAGAATTTACAAACATTAGCTAACGTGTGATTTGGCATAATTGTGATTTGGCATTAGTGCAATCTAGCATAAATGCAAAGCAGTTGCAAATAATGACATAATTGCAAATTGGCAAATGTAAAAAATGGCATAGATGCGCAAAAAAAAAAATGCAAACATTGGCATAATTATGATTTGACATAGGTGCGAACTGTCATAAGTGCAAAGCAATTCAAAAACTGGCATTATATATATATATCAGGCTTTCCCAGGAAAGGCGTGCGGTCGCACGCCTTGTTTGTCCACGCATAGAATTAATTTTTCTGACTAACTGACCACGTTTTATTATTATGCGTTTCAAGAATTCGCGCCAAAACATAGCTAAACGAAAATACTGCAAAAATGCAAGCAACCTTAAAGTAAATAACAGAAATCTATTTGTGCTTTAAAATTAAAAAAAGTTTACCTATATTTTAGTTATTTATTTTTTTAGGGTGGTAGTTATTTTAGCTATGAAAAATCAAATCAATAAGAAAAATCAAAACAAAAAGAAAAAGAATAATGTTTAAAGAAAATAAAAAAACCTTTTAATGTAAAATTTGTTTATCAATGACTTTTATCAGTCAGTAATACTTTAAAATTTACGATAGAACTATAAACAATTTTTAAATGTTTCGTAAATACATTTAAATGTTTAAATGTATTGATTTAAATGTTTGAATGTATTGATACGCAAGAAAACACGAAAACGATTGCTATTTATTAGTAAAACATATTTGTTTGTTTTTTTTAAATGAAAGAAAATTTTATTGTCAAACGATTGAGTTGCTTATTTTGCAATCATTAATTGACATTGTGAGAGAGTTAATATATAGTAATGTCCCGAAGGAACTGTTTTCGTAACAATGACAACAGAAGCAATGCAATTATTTTTTTAACTTCTTTCGTAATAACAAAATTATGCAATTGAATAATTTCAACATAATAAAAGGCGAGCATTGACTCAGTATAATCAGTTTAAAATAAGCCGAGAAAGAACTTTTTTCACATTAAAATTTTGTTATGTTTAAAATCTCAAATAATATATTTAATAATTAAAACAGCAATTTATTTTCTTGCCTAAGTATTGGGGAATAAAGTCATCGCCTTTGCATAAACCTTCGTAAAAACTAAATTAAATGAAAAAGTTTAACCAAATTTGTCTAGCGTAAAAAATGAATCAGTTTTTTAATACATTGTCTGATAAAGTTCATGAATAAATTACGTATCAAGTCTTTATTTTCGTGAAAACTTTATGACTTATCGTTGTCTTTTCCTTGACTTGTATCAAATTTCGTAGCTGAAAATAGCAACCCTTAGACTTCGTTTCCTTTTTTTTTTAATTATTTTTTATTCTCTGTGGATAATTTCCGCTTTCCCACGAAATAATGCCGCGGTCACATTTTCTGAAAAATTTCTTATATGCGTGGACAAACAAGGTGTGCGAACGCACACCTTTCCTGGGAAAGATATATATTATATATATATATATATATATATATATATATATATATATATATATATATATATATATATATATATATATATATATATATATACAGAAAAGCATAAAACATGTTAATGAAACACAGCTAAGCTTATAAGCTTACATCATTAAAAGTAAAGTTGTGTCATTAGCACATTTGAAAGTAATTCTAATTAAATTTAAATTTAAAAAAATCCAAAAGCTTTTTTAAACGATATAACTATAACAAATATTACTTATGAAATCAACTTTAAGTAAAGTAAAAAAACTATTTCTTAAGTAAAAAAGTTGCAAAGATGTTTTATATTCCTTCAAAATTAAGATAAAATATTTAATCTTGAAATCATATTCAATTCAAACTAAAAAACTTTTGATTTAAAATTTTTGTTTTATTAACTCAGTTTGGAATTTTTTTTTCAAGTATAAAATAAATTATTTAGCAGTATATTTTCATGAAGAAAAAAAAAACTATTTCACAATTGCAGTAAAAATTTTTTACAACAATTAATTAACCATTTAATAATTATCTTCACAAACAAAATTAATGTTTACTAAATAAACACTATTTAAAGGCAATTAAAATAATACTTTGATAAGAGTTTTTGTGTGATGCAAATGGCATAACGGTAAGATTGCCATTTCATGTGTAAAATGCGTAATGCTTCATAACAAAGCCTATATATATATATATATATATATATATATATATATATATATATATATATATATATATATATATATATATATATATATATATATATATATATATATATATATATAATATATATATATATATATATATATATATATATACATATACATATACATATATATATATATATATATATATATATATATATATATATATATATATATATATATATATATATATATATACATATATATATATATATATATATATATATATATATATATATATATATATATTATATATATATATATATATATATATATAAATTATATTTATATGTATATAAATTATATATATATATATATATGTATATAAATTATATATATATATATACATATATATATATATATATATATATATATATATATATATATATATATATATATATATATATATATATATATATGATTTAAATTTTGATATCTTGCATGAGAGTATATATATAAAAATTATTGTTGCAGAAATTTTACTTTATAGTTTGGGACATCCTTTGCACCTTCTTCTCCTAATATTTTTTCTTTAATTGCTTTAATTTGATCTCCAGCATAAACTGTAATTAAACTTTCTTTTCCATCATGAGTCATAACATGCACAGTAATTTGTCTACTTTGCTTAAGCTCTTCAAGAGCCAGGATTGGTTTAAACTCTCTCATTTTGTATATTATGACTAAACGATAAATTAAAAACATTTTTAATTTAAATTGCATTAAACTGCAATAGTTATTAAAATAAAAAATCATTTTAAATTATTTTTGATTATTTTAGAAACATAATAGCAGATGTTTTGCTTTTTCTAGTAAATAAAAATCAGCTAAATCAACAAAATACCATAATTAATAAATTTGGTATAGCTTATTATTTCAAACTAGACACACATGCCAAACATAGTGCATTAAAATCAGAATTGATATTGAAAAGAATAATTGAACTAAACAGAATTGAAATTCTGTTATATAATAATAAGGTATTAAACAATTAAAAAATTAAACACATTTAAAAAAAAACCTCAAATAGAATTTCTTAAAATAACTTTTTTAAATAGTTGATTATTTTTGATTAAATAATTTAAGCAATTTAAATTTTCTTATTTTCAAAAAGTTATAACTATAAAATAGTTTGACTAAAATAGTTATTCCTACAGTTTAAGGATACAAAGGATTAGGATTTTAGGATTAGGATTTTAGGATTTGTGATTGTAATTTTAAAATTCCAGCAAGTTTTAGAGTTCTTATTTTAATATATTGACTGAATGTTTGTAGAATAACTTAATAATGCACTGATTCAATTTTTCGTGGATGCCCCATTTTATGCTTACATCTTTCTAAATAAAAAATTTTCATAATTTGAAAAATTTATAAGATTGGTGGATGACAATATTTTTTAGACTGTCTACATAAAACATTTACACAATAGCTGAGATCTTTTTTGTGTTATTTTTTGTTAAACTCTGACAAACTCGTTAATACTGCTTACCAATAATAACAGATTGAATTTACAATTTTTGCAATATCTAAAACTATAACTATTGTTTAAAAAAATTATGGATCATAGTATAGATTGTTAAAAGAATGTTTGAAATAAATGTTTTGAGATATTATCCCTTCATAAAACAGTATCCTGCATCCTTTTAACAAACCCAACTAATGCTATACCTAAATTTATAGCAAAGATTTGAAGTTGAGAGAGAAAAAATTTTATCTTGGCAAAATTTATTAAAGTTTAAATAAAAATTTTTAACTTTTTTTAAAGACAATTTTGAGCATCTTTAATTTTCTTTCAACATAAATATTATAAAACTAATTTGCATTTATAACATAATTTTCTATAAAAACATCATTAAACTTTATTAATTATAAAAATCAAAAACTAACAAAACATTGCTATTGATTTTATGATAACTATAAAAATATAAAATAACTAAGTCATGGAAGTATTACACAAACCACTAAATAACAGCTTTTCTATTTATCTCTTCATAACTAAGTCATGGAAGTATTACACAAACCACTAAATTACAGCTTTTCTATTTATCTCTTCATACTTGTGTAGCGGTAATAAAAAACAGCATCGGAGTAGGTTTGAGTAAAGAACCTTTACTCTACTAATAAAACCATTAATTTTTTCCTTTTTCTTTTCTTTAGAAGAAGAATAAATGATTGTACTGTTTTTAGTTAAACTAATTTAAATTTATACAAATAGTTTAAACTTATCCAAAACAATTCTTCCATAATTCTAGTATATATGAATTAAAAAGCTTCACGTAAAATATTTGTGTAAACAAAATATGTAAACAAAAAAAAAAATTTGTTGTACTGTAAATATACATAATGCAAAATTACACAGCTATCGAGTAAACTTCGATTTTTGAATTTTTTTTTTTTTTGGTTTTTTTAGTTTGTAAACAAAACTCTTTAACACTAAATTTTATCGTAAAAATTAATAATAGATGTTAGCAACCTCGATACCAGGTTACAAGAAGAATTAGTATCGAAAACAGTACAAACTAAGTTTTGTTTTAAGAAATTAAAAATTATTATTTAAAAAATATGTCATAGATAAAAGATCTGTAGCTACAAATTTTTTTTTTTCAATCTTTCTTTTGTAGTTATTAAGGTATTTCAAGAAGACGATCTTATCACAAAGTACCATGGAAAAGCATTTAACCAGGAAGTTACGCTAATTATTTCTTTAAAAACTCGTGCACAAACTAAACATCCGGGGTATCCGGGTGGTTAGGGTTCTGGCCCCAGACCTCAAGATCCATCGGTCGGTAATAGCACTAACTATGTATGCATTATAAGTAAGGGAAAAGCGTAAGAGAGCTCATTAAGTGCTATTACGGGGTGCTCTGTGGTATATAAAACCATTAAGACTTCTGGGAGCACCTAAAGAAAGGAAAAAGAAAAAAGGAACGCAGTAAAAAAAAACATGCTCTATTAAAAAATACAACATTTCGATTTTAATATTTTTTGAAATGGCCGACGTTGTGAAATACGGAATTCAAATTGCCAATCGAGGTTTTGTTGGAGGAGTTGCCTTTGATACAAAAGAAGAGAAACTAAAATATTTTTTTTCGCAGTACGGTAAAGTAAAAGAATGCAAAATTATTAAAGACAATCAAAGCATTAGTCGTGGTTTTGCATTTGTCACATTCGAGTGTAAACAAGATGCGTAAAATCTTATTATAATTAAATATCGTACTTTTGATTAAGATATACTTTTAATAATTCTCGAGACATACTAAAGCCTTAGTTTAAACTACGTATGCCGTAGGTATTCCTTAGTTTAAGCTACGTATGCCGTAGGTATTCCTTAGTTTAAACTACGTATGCCGTAGGTATTCCTTAGTTTAAACTACGTATGCCGTAGGTATTCCTTAGTTTAAACTACGTATGCCGTAGGTATGCCTTAGTTTAAACTACGTATGCCGTAGGTATTCCTTAGTTTCAACTACGTATGCCGTAGGTATGCCTTAGTTTAAACTACGTATGCCGTAGGTATTCCTTAGTTTAAACTACGAGGGCTTTGTGAAAAGCAATCATATTGATTTTATTGATTTTATAAAGTTTTTAGTTAATTTTATAGAAATCATATTGGTTTTATAAAGTTTGAAACATACTAAAAGTATATCTTGATTTTCTAAGACTTAAAATTTCTAAAATGAGCAAAATTTCTTTAATGTATTGAAAACACCAGCTATATATTTTGCTTGGTGTGTCAATGGAGTTGTTACTACCTCGTACAAAAATACTCCTCCCTCGACTCCAATACAAGGACTTTTAGCGTGAGGTATAGCAAAAAGCTCTGCATTTGTTCCGTATTTTTGATGGTCTGATATAATACAGTAACAAGAAACCTGTTTGTCGTCTTTTTGAAAATACACAACAAAGAGGTACAATGTTCCTTGGTTATTGTTCCAGTTGAAATTTTGCATTGTGTTCTATTATTATACTGTGTATTATAAAACCATAGTTTTTTGCAATGCCAGTGAGAATTAACGTCTAACTTTATTTTAAGTTTTTAAATGTTGCAACTTGTGGTTTTACTTTATAATTTAAAATAATGCTTTCGTAAATTGCAACAGTTTGCAAACCATCTGAGCTTAAAGTATATTAGAAACTTGAATCTTGCCATTGACAAAAACTAACCAACTTGATTAACATCAATTAAATTGCTAATTTAATTAGTCGAAATCTTTTTTCCTGGACACATATCACAACTACCCATCATACAATATTTATTTTCAATGCAAAAACCCATAAGATTTAATCAGCTTTTGCAATTCGCTATTCTTGGAATTTTCTGAACAAGAAGCTTTACAATTTAATGGTACTTAGTGCTCAAAAGGTGACGGGACGGTATCCCGCCTCACATGGAGTACTGATGGTACTGACTGTTAACTGATATTAACTGATGTTACTGGTATTAACTGCATGCAGATTAGAAGCAACACTCACAAGTAATCGCCACTTAATTTAAAAAATTTGACAATCCAATTTTATGATATCTACCAGATTTTAGAGAAGGTTTTTGTAATATTTAGAGAAGGTTTTGTAATTAATTCTCAAGTTTGTGCTTCAGATCATTTTAAAGTCGAATGTACTTGTGAGTTTTCTCTATTGTCGAATGTACTTGAGATAGAGTTTTCTCTATTGTCGAATGTACTTGAGAGTTTTCTCTATTGTCGTATGTACTTGCGAGTTTTTCTCTATTGTCGAATGCACTTGTGAGTTTTCTCAATTGTCTGGAATGAGTACTTTTTTCTGCCTTTGACATTGTTTTGAATTGATTTAAGTTATTTTGCAAAATTACTAGTGACTCAATGGTTAGAGTTTTGACTCAGAACCAAGTGATTCAAGGGTGGATCCCAACTAAATACTACTCCATGGTGCTCTAGGCAAAGACTGCTAGGTGTTTTTGTAGCACCTAAATAACTAAATAAGTTTTAATTTTTTATAATTAAACTTTTGATTAGAACAGTTTCATATTTATCGAAGTTCCAACATAAATATCACTTGTGGTGTTTTTTTTCCCTCTATATCATAATGTTTCTTGGTGTTTGTTTTGCTTTATATTATATTGTTTGCAATTCAGTATTTTTCTGCGTTTAGTTTAAATTTTTTGACATGGAACTTTAGTAGCTCTATGAAAATATATAAGACAAAGTTTATATAAAACAAAGATTAGCATTTTTTTTTGCATGCTTTTTCAAAAACATCGTAGGATTACAACAATACCTAAGGACTACAACAACACCTACAAAATTCTTACGGACTATAACATTACCTACAGCAATACCTAAAAAAATAATTACAAAATACAACAATAACTACAACAATACCTACAACAATACATACGGACTTCAACAATATCTACAATGTTCATTTTTTTTAACTTAACAAGTGAACTTTCTTTTGATGGGCTACAAAATACTTTTTTTTAAAGACATTTGGTTTTGGTTTGATACTGATTTAAAAGAATTTTTTTTTTAATGAACTAAATTTAATAAGATGGCACTACACATTTAACTAGTTTTAAAGACATTAACAGTTTATCAGCTTTAATAAACAAATTTTTCACATAACCATAAACATAAAAAAGATTTTTTTGGTTTTTAAATCAACCCGTCATAATGGAAAAAATGAAAATTCAAAATTTTTCATTTTTTAGCTTCTCTAAAAGTATCCATAGCTCTATTACAATTATAAAAAATATAAAGAACGAAATCAACTTGTTTAAAAGTTATCAGCTCTTAAAAATCATGTAAAAAAAAAGTTTTTTACTTGAATTTATCTTTTGTATTTAATTTATATTTAAATAGTTTTTTTTACTGATTTCCACTTTAGAAAATAGTTTGAAGTTTTTAATCTTATTATAAATGTTATAAATGTTATAAATCACAAGTTTTGGAAAAATCTGAGTTGAGTACCATGTATTGGCTTTTTAAATTAATTTGAATTTTAATTGGAATTGATTCAACTAATGATTTTACTCGTTTGGTTAATTTATTTTTTATTATTGTATTACCATTCGACCACGAATATTATTTACAAACATCATTATATATATATATAATTTGCAACCACGACATATTGTATTAATACTTTCTAAATAACCGTAAATACAATTTTCCGATGACCAAAATATTATAAATATATTAACTTTATATTCAAACACAACCGCTATTTGTTTTCTAAAAGCTTTGATGACGTCATTCACAACGTAGATTAAAATGACAACTCCGCTGCATCTGCAGCTTTCAATCAATGATATTGCTGCAGCAGTTACGGCTATATCATCAAAAAAAAATTAATAATAATATAATTATATAATATAACTATTAAAATAATATAATTATTAAATAAAAATATTAATATAATAACTATTAAACAACAATAATAGGTAATACGAAATAAACATAAAATATTTTTAATCCTAATATATCCTTCACAGTGTTTGCATCAATAGTGACGCATGCGACACTAAGTTGTTGCTAATCAGTTAATAACATATTTATCAAAATTTAAATACGTTTAGAGGTTATTTTTTCGTTTAATCACTGTTAATTTATACAATTTTAAACTCTAGGAGTACAAAAAATAATAATAAAAAATAGTAATTAAATTTTATACATTGCACCCGTTACGGAAAAGGAAGTATATCCATTTTTGCCAAAAATGAGAAATGTAAACAGTAAAAACTATGGAATATCGTCCATGTTATCTTAAAGTATTATGCTTTGATTATTTATAATTAATGAGTTATTAATAATTTAAAAAAAGGTGTATATGCCATCGTGTTGAAAACAATTATAGAAAAGAGATATATCGGACAATTCGAATTTTTTTTTTGCATTTCGGAGAGTTTTTCTAAAACGGGTGTGATATATTAAAATGTATTAATAATTTAATTAAAAACAGCTAGAAAAATTTAAAATATTATCATATTTTAAATACAATAATATATTAAATTTTCTAAGATCTTTTTTGTTTTTAAAAACCATAAAAAAAAATTATCAGGGCGTAGGGGTTACAAACTTATTGCGTAATTATAGGGAAAAAAGGTCAGTAAAGCGTTACGATTTGATACTACGAAAAGGGCCTGGGATCCAAAACTGTCAAAAATAACTATATAATTTCTAAATGACCCCATACAAAGGCATATTATGGCATGTTTTTTTAAAAAAATTCTCGGCGTTACAAAAAAATTTCAACATTGAATAAACATCGTTCAATGTTATGCATGAATCCGTAAAATATTGTTCATATAAAATATTGTTTCTAACAAAGTAAAAGATTAGTATTAGTTTTCGTTATACAGTAATGACGCACCCTGAGTACCCATTAACAGTAATTAGAGGACTTGTGTTAGAATAAAAATATATAAGGTTTCATCAGTAAGAAGGATGGACTGGATTCTCATTAAATTCTTTTCATGGTGTTTTGTGACAAAATAGGTATCTTGGAACTCCTAAATAATAAAAATTAACAAAAACAACAAAAAAAATCAAAAGCACTTCATGTTTATGGAATAGAATTAAATTATATTTATCTACATTTTATATTTTTGCTCTTAGTAGTTTAAAAGTCTTATTCATTATTTTTACCTGAACAATGAATATACTTTATTGATAGAAAAAATTGGGTTTTATCCATATATTCAGTTATTTGTGTTGACCATTTGATGATTCATTATCGCATCCAAGTTTCAAAGTGAACAATTACAAATGAGCAGTACTAGATTTTCCGTAAGATGTTAAAAAGTATGCAACAATAAAAAGGTTTTGGCAGTAAGTCTGCTAAACAAAAATATTAATTTTTTTGAAGAGAATATTTCTCAGACATTTAAAAACTCTACTTTTTGGATATACTCAATGGCTAAAATAATTTTATTTTTTCGCTTGTTGCGCTCTCGTCAGTGGAGACTTTATGAAAATAAGGAATATTTATTAAAGTAATAAAAGAAAAAAAGATTGCTGTCCCATGCCAAACCCTCAGTTGATGTAGCGGCATACTACCACATACCAGCAGCAGCAGGCTATAAGATAGTTGATGTATGTACCGAAGCCAATAAATACTCCTTAAGTTTAAAAAGTCTCATAACTGTAGCTTTACCCCAAGATATTCTTAATAATGAATGCCTTAAAATATTATCCATATGTGGTGTTTTATGCCCAAGCCAACCTTTATCTGATTTTATTAGTGGCGGGATAGCTCAGCTGATTAGAGCGTCAAACAAAAAGTTAAAATCTGGACAATTGAACGTTACGATTTCAAATCCTGCCACCGCCAACTCAGTGCTTGAGTAGTACTTTGGTACGCAAAAATGTTGATCAATAACGGACTCTACTTTGGATTAGTCTTAATGACAAATATGTGGCTGTTCCTATGCTAAGCCAACAATATATTTGGATATAAGAACATTGCATAGAAAAATATAGCATGAAAATTCAAAAAATAAAAAAAAATTAAAAGAAAATTAAAAATTAGTTATTTTCTTAGTATTCTAGATATTATTTCTCCTATTCTTATTAAATTATTATTTTTCAATTTAACGTTTTGTAAAACATATTTCAAAGATTTATTATAGCAGCTTTAATTTTACTTGTGATCCCCCAAAACCAATAAACACTCTAAAAATACGCCGTGAAAGGTAACGCGTGGTTATTAAATGTAAGGTTACTTTGGCAAGTAGGTAACATTAACATGTATTAGATTAAATAATACCAGTCACCTGTTGATTATTGTTTAAGTTAATTTAACAGATGTTGTAGCCAGATGTAAAATGAACAAATATAACAGTAACAGAAAGTGTAAATAACAACACATCACGGGGGGCACTTTTGATGCTAAAAATCGTTAATCAAAAGATTAGTAAAACCATCCATAATATCATTTTTACATGTGTTTTTATGATGTTGTTTCTATATACTAAGGATTACATTTTTTTTGTCTTACAACTGATAAATCTTTCACAATTACATGAAATAAAATTAAACAAACCCTGAATTGAAAAAGTAATTCTGAAAAAAATAAAAGTACCAAAACATTAAAAAATAAAAAATGTCAAATGATCAAAAACCGACATTTGCAAAAAGTTAAAAACCCAATATTGGTAACCATAATTTTGGTAAGAACTAAGTATCAAAACCTGAAAAGCAGCCGTAAGTATCAAAACCTGAAAAGCAGCCGTAGTGCAGTGGTAGCACACTTGCCTCAGAAACGTAAGATCCGTGGTTCAATCCCCGCCTCTGGGCAAGTTTTGCGACATCGGTTGGGAAGGAGGCGTGAACTTCCTATTAAATGCTCTTCCGCGGTGCTCTGTGATAAGACCGTAAGGACTTCTTGGGGCACCTAAAATCAACATTAAATATATATATATATATATATATATATATATATATATATATATATATATATATATATATATATATATATATATATATATATATATATATATATATATATGTAAAGTTGTCTTTATAATATCTTTAAATTATATTTCATTGCAATCAGATATCGAATCATTAATGTGATGTAGAGCTTCATAGTTTTTCAATTTTTTGAGAAAAATTTTTTAATCAAAAATTAACATACTTTTTTATATTTTTAAGTAGACACTATCAGAACTGAAGCTAATTGATATCTTTAAAAAAATAGTTTAACGAAACATTTTCATTGCAATTTCAAATTTTTTTTTTTTTAGTCATGTTTAGGCTCTAGCCCATAAAAAAGTCTCAAAAAATAAAAAAAGCCCCGGGCCCCACGAAGTCTTTATCCGCCACTACCATATACATTGACAGCTGAACCCCAAAAACAAAATTAATTATCTATCAATAATATTAAATAACTATTTAAATTCTTTTTCAGATTGTGGCAGCATTACCGCTTTTTAACATATTTCATGCAAAATTTACTGTGTCACAACTAAAAAAAAAAATTCTAAAGATGTGTCAATGTACATTGACATTGAATTTTTTTTTTAGCTTTGACAGTAAATTTAACCTTACTTAATCAAAAGTTGTAGCGCGTTTATTTATTGCTAAAGTCACGTGTAAAAACAAATCCCGTTTTTATGTTCATGTTTAAAAATGATAAAGAATAACACAATGCCTAACTAATATCATTTTTATTATTCTTTATTACTCAAAAAAATTACCTATGCTTTTATTTTTACTTGAGAGTTAAAATTAGTGTTTGTAACATGTTACATTTTACATATTATGTTAAGTAACTTAAAATAACTTAATAAGTTAATTTAAGTAGAATGTATAGCTATCTGAAAGTCTGTTTCAGTATTCCTTATTTTAATGGAAAAAACTGAAGCAGATAATCAGTCAACAAAAAAGCTTGTTTAGCATATTGTATGTAAACAAAGATAAGCTAAGTATTGTTCAACCATTTTCATATATAATGAATAAAACATTTCTATCGCAAAAAACATCATCACCAAAAAGTCAAATTTTCAAACGTTGCCTCATAATTTTTTAAAGGAAATGTCACACATCAAGATGTGTAATTACATAAGGCCATGGTATTTAAATGTTACTGTTTTCATAGAGTAAATCAATTCCTTAATCCTAGCATAGTTCCAGTAAATAAATTAATTTTTCCTCTTTTGTACTGTAGTTTTTTTTAAAAATTTTCATAAAAGATTAATACAACTTTTTTTTAAAATTTTTAGAAAGTTATCAGGCAATGGAATTCAAGAAATTAGAAGTTTGTTTGATGGAGGAACCTCCAGCTATTTACTTGGAGTGTAAGAATTTTAGATCTATTTTTTCTTTACTAAAAACCCTTTATAATAATATCGCAGTGGATAGCCTACCGAAAGTCGGTAGCGGAAAAATAAAAATTATCCTACCGAAAGTTTTTTTTTTTATTGGTTAAGAAATATCACGTGTCACAATAAAATTGCTATATAAATATATTTTTAAATTGTGCAGATGGAAGGTTCAGTAGTGTAACGAATATAATCTAGACACCGCACGTAGGCGATCCGCGTTCAAATCCGTTCTAAGGAACAATATTTACACTGCGATTGCTTTTTTTCCATATGTTTTAGGTTTTATTAGGCTCATTAATTGAATAAATTATTTGGGATATACGCTGGGAATAGGACAATGCATTAATAGACGCAATGGAGTATTTATACACTGACTGATTTAGGGATAGGCACCTAGGAATGTACATGCATTTACTAATTTAGGGATAGGCGCAGTGAAGTGTACATACATTTACTAGCTTAGGGATAGGCGCAGTGAAGAGCACATACGTTTAGTAATATAGGTATAGGCGCTGTGCAGTGTACATGCATAGACTGAGGGTTTTGGTATGGGGTGGCAGTCATTTCTATTTATTTAATGGAAAATTCTATTTAATTTTTTTACTTTTTTTACGTTTTTGTTTTTTAAAAATAATATCTTAAATTTTCTTCATTTTACGGTATAACAAATATTGTTTATTTTGGCATGTGATATTGTCAACCAATAAAAAAAACTTTCGGTAGGATAATTTTTATTTTTCCGCTACCGACTTTCGGTAGGCTATCCACGGCCATAATAATATATATAAAATAAACCCTAAAGACTTTGGGGTTTATTATATATGTATTATTATAAAGGGTTATTCAAAATTTTTTATATCTTGAATCAATTTTATATCAAAAACAATTCTAACTGAAGTTAATGTAATTCAAAATATATATAAAATAAAATATAATAAAAATAATTCAATCAATTCTGTTTTTTTATTATTTTAAATTGATGTTTATCTTTAAATGGAACTGTAGAAGAAACTAACAGTATCTGTCCAAGAGTTCATATATTTTGATTTTAAAAAATCCAATTTTACTTATAATATAATTTTTTAATCTCTTTAATAAGATGAAATGCATTAATCAAAAGTATAGTAAATATAGGGTTGCCAGGGAAACAGTTTATTTATGTCTATTTTATTAAAGTCCTGTATATTGAACTTTAATAAATAGGGCACCATGGTAACATAAACATTTTGGAAGTCTTCATATTTTTTCAGTAATTATTTTTAATTAATCAAAATTGATAGCACAAAGTTAATCAAAAAATGGTTTTTGAATATGTTAATTAATTTTGTACAATGTACTTAAGAGCCATTATCTGAGAAATATAGGCAAAATCGGCAAAGTCTGGAAGTGATGTCTTCAAAATCTCTTCATTTTCAGATATCTTATAGAAAACAATGAAATTAGGCCACATTTAAATTTTTTTTCGAAAACTCCCATTATTTGCGGAGATATCGGGGGCTGAAATTTGGCCCATTTTGTAAAAATATTGGTGCATGGAACGGAATTACTACTTTTAGGGGCAATTTTAGCAATATGAATTTGAGAAACTCATTTATTTTTCTTATTTCTACTACTCTGAGTGGATTTCTCTGGTTAAAATAAAAATTCAAAATGTTTACATTTTTTATTGTCTAGAAATCACGGTTCAAAACCGCTAAATTTGAAATTTTACCCGAACTTTGACCATTTATATCTCCTAAGGCCATTACTTGCACATAATTTACTTAACTGCTTTTGAAAGCCAATAAGGTATACATTGAATTTATAGAAAAAAAATTATGAGTATGCAAGAGCCTGGGAAAGAGTAAGCTTCCAAAAATGAATTTTCGCGGTTAATACGCTTTGTTAGATTACAAATAACAATCGTGGCCTTAGGTCTGCCATGAAATGTATAAGTTATTTCGTTTCCTTATACATGCATCTTCCAATATCTGAAAAAAAATTCATGTGCTTAAGCGATAAAAAGCCTAGAGAAGTCCTAGAAATAGTCTAATTTTGCCACATTCTTAACCAACAAAATACCCTAGCAACGACATAGATATGCTTAGCAACGGCTTCTATAATTCGTTAATAATTAGTACTCTAATTAAAAATAAATAAAAATTACATTTTTATAACAAAAAACTGTATAAAAGCGCTTGATAAAAGTTATTTTCTAAGCTTCTTTAATGAGAAAAAGATCCAATCATCACACACTTTGAAGTGTTTAAATCATTGTTAAAACAATTATGTAAATTTCGGATAAACGTTTTTTCAAATACAACTTGTTTAAGAAAGCAAACCAAATAAAGTTTTAAAGAAGTTTATCTGTCAATCTGAATTTCTATGTTATACATATCGTCTATTGAGAGAGAATAGTCCCCTCTTTGATTAGTTGGTGTTGGTGCATCAATCCTACAAATAACGTCAAGATATAAATATTGGAGAATATTTTCCTTGGTTGGCCACTTGAAACAGTTTTTTCCAGGTGTAGTAGAATATTCCATACAAGAAACATGAACATTGTCACGATTGACCTACATGGTTAAGTTAAAAGTAAAACAACGTCTAATCATTGGTGCTTTCTGAATATTTCTTACATTTAAATGTTGTGGTTAATAAATTAATAATTATATAACTTAATAAAAAAGATCTAATACTCAAAAATTAAATATTTTGATGTTATAACGTCTTACACTTTGAATTATTGCAGGATACCACTGCATATTATATTCAATAGCAACCCAATCACCAATTTGAAAATCAGCTGCTAACTCCTTTGCTATGAGCGAATATCGTTGTTTAAATCATCATCTTTATTTTGACTTGTATGTCTCGCATCATCAGTCAGATCAATCATGTCATCAGTTAGATTAGCATCTTCACAAAAAATGGTAACTAGCTTTCCTTCTCTTTTTTGTTTACTCCATCTAAAAAAATGTACTTGAAGCATGAAGGTAAATTCAAAATATTTATCTTAAAACTCAAGAAAAGAATAAAATTAAATTTTATATCATTCATACTTTGGGTATCAGTAAATATAGAAGTAAATTTACTCGCCTAGAGAATAATGATCGAATTTGTTGAGTTGTCACATATTCACTTGGCTTTAACTTTGTCCTCAGCTGCTGGTGAACCTGCTCTGGGCTCATTTTTTTCCCTTGTTCTTCTCCAGACATAAACATCTGCATTAACAATGTTTTCTGCTTTGAAGAATATCTGAACACTTTTCTTTTTGGTAATGCCCACCCAGTGATGTCTGTGAAGTTTTCAATCCCTTTAATGACAGATTGGGATGACGGCAGATAATCATAAGAATTTAGGTTTGAAATTTTCATTTTGTTGATATAAGATAGTTTTGCTCTGTCTACCATTGATTTCTTCACAGATTGAAAATTGTGGTTTTCTGATAACAAGTGTACTTCTAATGATTCATTGTCAAAAAATGAATCAGTGCAACCAAATTGTGTACAAAACTTTAAAGTGTTAACTCTTCTATCAACACGTGGTTTTTTGGAAATTGTTGGGGCAGTATAAATTTTGCAAGTCGAACTAAAGGGCTTAACAATTTCAACTGAAGTATGGAATGTCACATTTGTATAGTTCCATTTTTTACCTTTACCAATTCGGAAGTATCTCCACATTATCATGTGATCAGGGAAAAACTGAAAAGAATGATAACTGCTTATGTTGTGAATCAGATTTGATCCTGATAAAATAGAGGCTTTGGAATTTATTATAACTACAGCAACATCAGCGTTTTGAATTCCTTTACCATTATGAAGAGCCTCATAAAGATCTTCTGCAGTCAATAAATTGTTTCCTGCGTCAACAAAACTCCTAATGACACATTTCGCTCCTGCTGACTCTCTATCACATTGATCTTTTCCACGCGAAGGCTCGTTGTAATCATACCTTTTAAGGAAAAATTGTTTTGCTTTGCAAACATTGTAAAGGGCTTCTAAGTAGAAGTTTCCATGATAAGATGATGCATTATCTGACTTAGCATAAAGATTCTTTAAATAAGGAAAATCATTTTTAACTTTGGCCAAAACAACATCAGCGAGACAGAGTACATCAACAAGGCTTTGCTCACATCTATATACAGCAGTAAAATACACTTTTTTTTTCATTCGACCATTTTCATAGAAGAAGAAGACATCAACATGTAGAGTCATTCCTTTTTTCCCAAAATATTCTTTTTGGCCTTCACGGAATTTAGCGGGCAATATTTTTTGACAAAAATCCTTTAGCCAAAATCCTGTTTCCTCATCAAGTTGCTCAAAAGCCATTATTTTGGCCATTTTTTGCTGCGCATCACGAATTTGATGTTTCATATAGGCTTCAACATCTTCTGTAGCCACATTTAAATCATATAGTAGATCTTCATCTTCACTTTGTATAACCAACTCACGAACCTGATTGATTACTGAAATGAGGTCAGTACAGTCAATGCATTGTTCATCGTCAGCGGTTATGTTTGATTGGTTTAAGTCCGGATCTATATCCGAAAGGGCAAATGAAGTTGAGTGACTATGCAAAGTTGAATTTTCACTACATTTGGAAGGATAATTACTCTTCAGATACCTTTTACCTTTTTCAAGAAACTTAGTAACATTTTTATATTTCCACTTCTCAGAAATGGCAATTAATGTTTGGAAACCGTTCATGCCAGCTGCTGTAACATCATCAAGACCAGCTAAAGATTTCCTTTGAGAAGGTTTTATTCCACAAAGAATTCTCCATAAAGAACTATCTGACATAGGGACATAATTAGTTTCTAGGCAAATTTCTTTATAAAATGTGATTGTATGGCTAAACTTCATCATCAAAATGGCATTAGCCACTTTTTGTTTCTCTCCGTTGTCAAACTTTATTTTATTTATACCATATGCTACATCTTGAAGCAGACCTCGAGAAAATAAAAATTCCAAAAAATGTTCAATTTTTTCTTGAGGCATTCGGCATATTTTTACCTTACCCTTCTTTGGTATAGAAAGTCCAATGTTTTCTTTCTGCAACTTGCGTCCTTTTTCTATTTGATGTTTTTTGCAATCAAAGACTTTCATTAATGTCTCTTTAGTGTACTTATTATGATTAACAACTGAAAGCAAAAGAATTTTTCCTAAAGAATCGCTTTCTTGGAACATCTTAACTTGTACAATTAGGTCTTCTGGAACCATTTCAGTTGCAACATTTTCATCTTCACTGTTTAATACTTGGTTTATAAGTGCTTCTGATTGACCAGGTGCAATTGCTTCAGCAAATATCTTCTCGAGCTGCACTTTACATTTCTCAAATTTTTTTTTAACTTTCTGTTTAGTTCCTTGTGTTAAGTCTTCTATTCGCTTTTGCGTTATGTGAAAAGACAGTGGACTTGCTCCTAGTGCTTCACACAAAGAACTAGCTTTTAATTTTGATTCTTCGATGGTCTTATCTGAAATGATTGCTAAATCTGGAACATAAACTTTATCAACATAAGAACTAGACTTTACTGTTGGAATTGGTTCTATCATGTCAATAATATTATCTATAGAAATAGTTTTTAGGTGCTTGAAGCAAAATACGGCTCCAATAGGTAGCGATGAATTACTTTTATTATAAGTAGCAAGGGTATTCAAAGGTATGGATCTAATTTTTGGTGCTTTTTTACCAACTTGAAATATATGACTTGGGTATTGACATCTGTTTGGCGGCTTCCATCCAATACCAAAAGAAAAACGGTGGTATGCACATAACCAGTCGTTGCATGAAAGATAAGTTTGTAATCGACTTTTAATTAGAGTTTTTTCATTATACTGGTTTGTCTGCGGTAACTATAAAATAGTAATGTTAAATTTGTCATCTATTTGTTGGAGGTATTGTTGCTTATAATTAAAAATATATATATTAATTGATAAATTATACCTTTAGTACTTGTAAATGATTACTTATGTCAGCAGTTAATTCATTAATTTGAAAGATCCCATGTTGTTTCCAACGCTTAAAAGGGCCACAAGAAGTCTGTCCTTTATCAAAATACACGCATTTTTCATAGAGACTGACTATATTGTTGCTCTCTGACATTTTGTATTTAACTTTTATTTTTTATTTTATTATTTTTTATTGAATAAACAAAAGATAACAAAACAAAAAAACTTTATTTCGTAGTTTCTCATCTCATGCTATGGCTATTTATTAAATTCATGTGCTAATTCTTCGAGAAGAATGTGTCTCCAAGGAAATAGTCTTGCAATCATTAATAATTGTCTAAAGAAAGTATTACAAATGACTGCCCAAAGGGAATTGCTTGTGTAGCAATCATTACAGTCATTAAAAAAAGTATCTTTAATGTCACTTCTTTACTTTGGTTATTACACTTTTGCCATCGCATTCTTTGAACCTATTGTTGCGCATTTTGTTACATTAAAAAAGCTTAAAAAATAATTTTTATCAAGCACTTTTGTACAGTTTATACAGTTTTGTTATAAAAATGTATTTTTTATATATTTTTAATTTGAGTACTAACTATTAAAGAGTAAAAGTAGCCGTTGCTAAGCATATCTATGTCGTTGCTAGGGTATTTTGTTGGTTAAGAATATGGCAAAATTAGACTATTTCTAGGACTTCTCTAGGCTTTTTATCGCTTGAGCACATGGATTTTTTTTCAGATATTGGAAGATGCATGTATAAGGTAACAAAATAACTTATACGTTTCATGGCAGACCTAAGGCCACGATTGTTATTTGTAATCTAACAAAGCGTATTAACCGCGAAAATTCATTTTTGGAAGCTTACTCTTTCTCAGGCTCTTGCATACTCATAATTTTTTTTCTATAAATTCAATGTATACCTTATTGGCTTTCAAAAACAGTTAAGTAAATTATGTGCAAGTAATGGCCTTAGGAGATATAAATGGTCAAAGTACGGGTAAAATTTCAAATTTAGCGGTTTTGAACCGTGATTTCTAGACAACAAAAAGTGTAAACATTTTGAATTTTTATTTTAAGCAGAGAAATCCAGCTAGAGTAATAGAAAAAAGAAAAAGAAATGTGTTTCTCAAGTTCATATTGCTAAAATTGTCCCTAAAAGTAGTAATTCCATTTCATGCACCAATATTTTTACAAAATGGGCCAAATTTCGACCCCCGATATCTCCGCAAATAATGGGAGTTTTCGAAAAAAAATTTAACTGTGGCCTAATTTCATTGTGTTTTATGAGATATCTGAAAATAAAGAGATTTTAAAGACATCACTTCCAGACTTTGCCTATCTTTCTCAGATAATGGCTCTTAATTGTTTACATGATTATTATTGTTTATATAATTTACAAAATTAAGTATTTCTGTTTTGAAATAATCTATTAAATCAAAGCAGGAAATATAATTTTTGACATTCAAACATTTCTCTTAAATGTTTAATAATAAAATACATTTGAATAATATAGTGAATACTTCAGTAGTTGCAGTAGCTTTATCATTATTTTTATAACTATTCTTTAAATTGTTTATTTTATAAATATTAACTATACTATAATTGTCTTACTATTGCTTTATCATTTATAATTCTTTGTACGTTGTTATATTGCAGTTATTATTTTTTATATTATTTTTATTCATATTATTGTTACTATTATTATTTTTATAAATATTTTTACTTTTAACTTTCTTTTCTTCTTTTTTATTTTTTTATTTTATTTTAAAATTGTCTTTATTGTAATTGTTGGTTATCTTTCTTTCCTTTTTTTTTTTTTTTTTTAGGTGTCACTCCATTGACTAGTTTTCAACTATATGAGTGACTCCTAACCTTATTTATGTAAATTTATAATTTATCCATGTAAATTTTCATTATTTATGGTTAAATAAATGGAGAAAAAAATAATTAGAAATTAATTTTTAAAATCAATGACATAATTTTTTGAGTAAATTTATTTTACATTTAAAAATGTACAAACAGCTTTTTATAGCTGCTCTATTTTTTTAACCATGAAACATAAAAAAACAATATGCCATTTTTAACATTAAAATTTTTTTTATTTATTGTTGTTGAGTAAAATTCTTGTTGAACAGTTTTCTAATAGTACAATGTAATCCAGTACAACTTACCCCATGTCTTGCTGCTGTAGCATTTGCTTTTTTAGACAAAGGCTTGGAGAAGTAAACTCTGACTTGAATACCCTGCCTTGGGACTATTTGTTGAGTAAAGGCTAGAGTTTTCTCAATAAAAATCTTAGGTAACTGTATCCAGCTACTTTACTACTTTTTGTTGAAGGCTTTTGTAGAAAGTTAGAAGAGTAAGAAGTAAAATTGTATTGACCTTTACTTCATCTATTAGGCTGGTATAGATATAAGTTTGTGTTAAACTGTTTCCTGCTGGATCTTCTTAACTCAAATCATGAATATTGCGGCTTCTTGTTAGTGGCCTCCTATTATCTCCTAACAAGGGTATAGCTCTAAAACTCAGTTTAATGGTTTTGAAGTTTGCTGGTAGTTAGACTTTAAAACCTCTTATAAAAGCCAATTCTATAAATAGCTGTAAAACATCAGAGTACAAACAGTGCCTTGGTGACACTGTTAGTGCTTTAGGTGTTGAGGCAACATTCATTTGCTGTTTATGGTTGTACTTGATGTAGTTATAATTATTGATTTAAAAAAAATTTTCCTTTATATTAAAATTATGACATAGTTTTCAAATTTTTAAAATAATCAAAAACAACTATTATAGAGAAAAATGATTGTTCTGTAAACATCCATTAGTAATTTTTGTTTTAGATTTTTATTCATTTTGTTTGTTTTGAGTTTTTGAGTTATACAAATGTTCATTAAAATGAAGTTCAAATAAAATAATTTTTTTTTTTTAGATTTATAGATAATAACCCTATTTATATCATCCAAGATGATGCATTTAAAATTTTTCCATCTTTAAGAGAACTGTAAGTTATTATTACATTATTCTTTATTAATATTTGTTTTAGAGTTTATATAATACTTATAATTATTGTTATCTTATTTTGTTAAAGGATTATAAAAAACTCATTCTTAAATGCAGTACCAAATGCTGTTAGAAGAATTCAACTTTTATATAAGTTGTAAGTATTGATTTTGTAAGAATTATTTTATATATGGATATATATCTTTAACTGCCTGTTTAGTGTCACACAAAACATAAATAATGAATTTAATTTATATTTATATATACAACCCTCGGAATTAGGGTCAGCATTCGGCAATGGCGACCTAACTGCCAACCTGAAAGTGTTAAAGATTGGCAATTTTTTGCGGACCTCATTTATATGTTTTATGGTGAAACAGTTGTATCAAATTTTTTTTTCATTTTGTTTCTACTTGAAAGTATTCTGGATTCATTCATTTCAAGTTGATAAGACCGTAAGGATCTCTTGGGTACATAAAAGAAAAAAAATTTGTTGTACCGTTGTTTCTTTAACGCTAATAAACACTTCCTCTTGTACTTTATAAATAATTTGTTATCACTTCTCTACAGCTCAGGGTGTTCCATATAGCACATTTTTTTTTTCGTGAGCAAAGGTTTACAATTATTTATTATTTATCAATCTTTAAATTAATAGTTATTAAAATAATTATATATATCTAGATATTTTATTAATATGACTAAATAATGGTTCAGTTATTTAGCCATATTATTTAAATATAGCCAGCATTATTTTGTGTACTCACTAGATAAAATGCCAATTCAAACAAAACCAAAAACAATGTAAAAAAATTAACTGATTTTAAAGAAAAAGGTTTCTTTTAAAAACTTTGTTTTTATAACATAAAATACAATAGTTCTTGTATTATAACATTAAAACAAATATATATATATATATATATATATATATATATATATATATATATATATATATATATATATATATATATATATATATATATATATATATATATTATAAAAATTTTAATATATGCATGTGCTTATATACAGGGGCATGTGTAAGGTATAAAGTGAGAGATTATAAGTATATAATAATAGAAAAAAAAAAAAAAAAATATAGTTGTTGCATTTGTTGCAAGGAAAAAAAAATTGTTATATTTAAAAAAATAAAAGTACACTAACCCAGGTCTTGTAATCAAGTGTTACGCATAATACATTTTACATAGGCAATGCCAATCTTGCATAGGCCTAGACTATTTATGCCACGGTTAAACTTTTTTTGATTAGTAATATTGTCTAAAAAAAATTTTTTTAATTAATTTTTTTTTTTAATTTGGAGTTATATATGCTTAGCTATATGTTTTGTTCAGGTATGGGATCTAGGTGTATTCACCTATGGAGGTATGGGAACTACAGTGACAACCAGCAATTATAGAGTTGTAAATACTCAATTGTTCAGAATTTTGTTGTTTTATTTAAAAAATAATTATTTTTTCTTTTAATTAATAAAATCATCAGTTAACTAGCAAAACAAAAAAACAAACCTAATAGAAATATAATAAATATAAATGTAATAAAATAAATAAAACATAATAGAAATATAATAAATATAAATATCTAAACCACATGCTTTTTTTAGTTTTAATTTTTTAAAATTTTAATAATGCTTTTAGCTAAAAAAATTTAAAAAAGTTTTTAATAAAATAATATTATTAATTAGCATTTTGATTTTTAGTTTGCTAAAGGTTTGTTACACTTCCCAATGCAGGCAGTTCTCCTACTAAATGATCTTTTTGTGTTATTTTTTTAATGTTTTTCTTTTTTCATTTATTTTTTAAAAAAGGATTACCTTACTTAAGTTTTCCATTATTTCGTATATTACCAAGTTTTTACAAATGAATGATTTGTAAAAAATTTAAACAAAAAGTAAAACAGGCAAAATAATTCTTATTAGCAAATTTTGGAGAATGTTCTGTTGAAATTCTATGGCGCACATAATGGGGCACATAATGGCACACATAATGGAGATACTGTCTACATACAAGTCAATTAAATGAGTTGATCAAAAAAGGGAAATTTTATTGTTGTGTTGAGATGATGAATTATTTTGTATTTAAAAAAATGAAATTCAAAATTTTTTCATAGCATATTAGTAATTGATAATAAATTAATTATTAACATAACATAATTAATTAGAAACAATAGTATAATAACACTAGGTCTTTTGAGTTAATTTTAAATTAGTTTTTTGGTGATTAAATGAATGGAAAAATTAAAATCATTATTTAATTATTAAAATTATTTTATTATTATTTTGCAATTTTTCAAAAAGCAAAATGCTTATAAATATGATTTGTGATAAAAAGTAATTTAATGGTATCACAAATCACATTACACTTAAGCTTTACATATTTTTTATTTATCTCAAGGCCTGGTAACCAAAGTAAGCCTGGTAACCTTATTAAACATATTTAGCCAGTTGACAAATGATAGATAATTATATCATAGAAGATGAGTTAAAAACAGAAAACATTAAACAATGTTTAACAACAGAAAACATTTAATAAATGCCCAAACTATTATTATTATTTTTTTACTTTATACAACCCTCGGAATTAGGAAAAATGCAGTTAATAGAGGTCGGCATCAAGTCGGTAAAAAAAATTGATACAAAAGTCTTACCATAAAACATAGAAGCGATGTTAGAAATATTTGCCAACCTCAAACACTTTTAGATTGGCAGTTAGGTTGACATTCGGCAATGCTGACCCTAATTCCGAGGGTTGTATATATATATATATATATATATATATATATATATATATATATATATATATATATATATATATATATATATATATATATATATATATATATATATATATATATATATATATATATATATATATATATATATATATGTATATATATATATTAGACTTAAAAATTAAAACTCTTAAAAATGAGGTCGACAATAATTTGCCGAATCATTTTTAAGAGGTTGGCAATAAAAAATTGATACAAAGGTCTTACCATAAAACATAGAAACGAGGTTGAGGCAGTTTTTTGCCAACTTCAAACACTTTTAAATGTTCACTAATTCCAGTTTTTTGTTTCTTTTTGTCTGTATCTAATTTTTAAAATGGCAGTTCTATTTTATGTCAATGGGATGGTTTAATCTTTTTCTGATGTAAGAGTGCCAGAAATGGTGTCCAAAATTTTGTTGACAAATATTGTCCCTTATCTCTATTGATACCATTTTGTTGAGGGGCACATTGGTGTATTGTATTTCAAGTGCCTCACAAACTTTCCTATCAAACTTTTTAGCATCAACTTTTAGAGTTCTGTAACTGTCCCAAATAATTTGTTGTGCAAAATGTCTTGTGTGTGGCTAATGCTGATTTTTCTGTTTTATTTCCTCTTGTATTGTTTTTTTGTTGTTGCATGCATGTTTGTATTTGTCTTCATTTTCAGCCATTGGTCTTGAACTTCAAGTGTAGCAAAGGTTTTTCTACATGTCTTGTCAACTTTATCTCACTCAGTTTGCTCCTGAACAATTAAAAATCTGGTAATTATTTTCAAATAACAACTCCAATACTTCTTTGATCTTGATTTCACAAAAAAACATAATGTTTGTAAACAAAGTGGAGTATTCTCATATCAAGAAATTTTTAAATGACAACTGCAGTGTCTTGAATGCATCCAGTGTTGCAGTTGTATACCAGCAAGTAAAAGAATCGTTTTTTCTGCAAATTTCTACAACATTCTACAAATGCATTCATTGGTTTGTGAGTCAGCTGTTCCTGATATCAAGTTTTAAATTCCAATAATCCTTTATTTAAGACAGTCTGGGTGTTTCCCTAAGAAAATGTAACATATCACTTTTGCTCACTGGCATCAAGCAATAAGAAGTTTCAATGGCACCAGCAATAGCAAAACCACACCATTAGCAGCCTTTTTTTTGTTTTGTTATTTTTAGTTTTAATTTCAGAGTGTTTTTTCATATTTAGAAAGACTTTTTCTTGAGCATTTTGTCTTTACACCAGCAATAGTTAAGACAGAAATATTTCTGACTCTAGGATCTTGTATATGCAACAGTCTTAAAGGACATTCTTGATAAGATAAAAGAACATATTTAGAAAATCTTTTCTTAGATTACCAAGAAACCATTTTTATCTAATTTTTTTTGATGTATAAGGGATTGTATTTTTTTTCTTCACTAAGTTTGTGAGCAGCCAATTTGTGCCTCATTTTGGTCTAACTAATAAGCAAACCCCACATACCATATATTTATATATATTATAGAAACTTGTAAAACATTCCAAATTTGTATCCTTCTAGAACCTTCAATACAATATTAGAAAATTCCAGAATATTCAAAATTTCAAAACTTATTTTTATATGCTAAAACTAAGTTTTAATTATGATTTCAAATAAATTGAAAATGACAAAACAAACGCTTTATTTAAATTTTAAATAAAACAAAAGTGTCAAAATGAACATTTTATTTAAGTTATAAATAAATATCTTACTGAATGTTCTGAATCCTTCATTTCATTTGAGTCCTCCCAACTTTGTGAACTTTAATAATTTAATTTATTTAATTACCTAGATATTTTAATAGATTATATATTATAAAAATATTTGTGAAGTTACTTTTAAGTAATAGATGATAATTTTATAATTTTTCTTACTTTTTGATAATCGGGATGATTATTTTTTGTCGACCTCAGAATTTTAAAACTTACTTTTATATGCTATTTCACATAAATTAAAAAATGGCAAAATTAATGCTTTATTTAAATTTTGAATAAAAAATTATTAAAAAAAATTGGCAAACAAAAAATTTATTTTAATTCTTAATAAAATAATTAAAACAAAAAGGTATGTATATAAGTTTTTTTTTTGCCATAATGAACGATCTTCATATCTAAATAGTACCTGCACTGTCCTCCTAATGCCCCCTAATGCCTATTTCAATATGGTCACATAACATCTTCAATGACATTTTATGCGTGTATATGTGTATATATTTATATATCAGGAGCTATTCTAGATTGTTTTTGAGAGTGCCTTAATCATGTTTGGAAGCTGCCCAATTTAAAAATTGAGGACTTTTTTTTTGTAATGTTTTTTATGGCAAATATTCTTTGTTTTTTCAAAAAAAAATGTCTCCAGCATGTGTGTGGGGTGGGGGATGGCCACCTAAATTTTTTTCCTAGAATAGCCCCTGTATATGTATGATATGTATGTATGATATGTATGTATGTATGTATGTATGTATGTATGTATGTATGTATGTATGTATGTATGTATGTATGTATGTATGTATGTATGTATGTATGTATGTATGTATGTGTGTTTGTATACATGCAACCCTCACAATCAGGAAAAATGATTTAGAATCTTTTAGAAGTCGGCATCAAATCAGCAAAAGTTATTTGATATAAAGGTCTGACCATAAAACATAGAAATGAGGTCGGCAATTTTTAGCCAATCTCAAACACTTTCAGGTTGACAGTTAGGTCGGCATTGCTGAATGCTGACCCTAATTCCGAAGGTTGTACATGTGTGTTTGTATGTATATTGCATATATTGAAACTGTGGTATATATTTTTTTGCAATAATTTTTTGTGTTTAGAGATCTTTCTAATAATCCAATCAAAGACTATGGAAGTGGCTCATTTGATTCAAAACACCTAAAGTCTATGTAAGGTTTTTTTTTTGTGGGAAAAGTTTGAAAAGGTTATGAAATTAAAATTTTAATTTTAATCTCTTTACATTAGAAATCTATCAAACACAAAATTAACTTATTTGGATAAGAGTTTTTTTGATATGCTTCCAGACATAAATGAGCTGTGAGTAATTTTTTATAAATATTATAAAAGTTTAATTAAGTTAAATGCTTAAAGTTTAATTTTTAATTTTAATTTCTTTTTAATTTTAAAACTGTATAAAGTTTAATTATTTTGTATAATGTAAAATATTTTCAAGATTTATTTTTAATAACTTGTTTTTGTTTTTAGAATTTTAAACAACCTTCCACTTGAACAACCTGTTGAAATAAATACTTTTGCTTCATTGGTTTCTCTCATTAATTTGTGAGCATTTGATTATTATTTTGAAGTATATACATATACATATATATATATATATATATATATATATATATATATATATATATATATATATATATATGCACACATACATATATATATATATATATATATATATATATATATATATATATATATATATATAAATATATATATATATATATATATATACATACATACATATATATATATATATATATATATGTATATATATATATATATACGCGTAGTTATATATATATATATATATATATATATATATATATATATATATATATATGTATATAAATATATATATATATATATATATATATATATATATATATATATATATATATATATATATATATATATATATATATATATATATATATATATATATATATATATATATATATATATATATATATATATATATATATATATATATATATATATATATATATATATATATATATATATATATATATATATATATATATATATATATATATATATATATACTCTGATATATGTATGGAATATTTTTTTTCTACAGAATAAATTTTTCTGTAAAAAATAAAAAAAGTCTTGGTGCCAACTAAAGGCATTGAAATTTTTAATAAATCTTAACAAAATTATTACTTACATGGCCTACTACAATTACACGACCTGATTTGCTGCATTTTCCTTAAAAAAATAAAAGGCCATTTTTTTTATGGCTAACGTTTGAAAGCTTGGATTCTTATGTTTGCATTGTGAATGTTTTATTCATATTTTATTAAAATATAAAACATATAAAAATTAAAATTTTAAAGTGTAGTTACACAATATTTTATACTGGATTTTTCGCTAACTGATTGCCTGCTTCAGTTTATTCAAGTAAAACAGAATATTAAAATAGGTTTTCAGATAGTTATATATAAATGTGGTACTTAAAATAACATTACATGTTGCTAAGACCACACATTTGTTTATAATTACTAAAGCGTAGCTCCAAAGGATCACTTTGTAACCTGGAAGTAAGAACATATGTATAGTCTTCTTCAAGCAAATCATCAATAAGAGATCTAGTTGCTCGTAGTGTTGTAATAAAAGCGAGAGAAGTTTGTTTGGTAAATGTAAATCAATCAAATTTTGAACAAATGTCAATCCAATTTGCAATTTCTCTATAGAATGTGGGTTTGTTATCACCCTTCACAGCAGCATTGTCAAGTTGATTGGTATTTAAGATGTATTAAATTTCAGCTTCAAATTAAGTGTGATGAATAACTTATGAAACAACAATAAAAATTGTGCTGCATCATTTCTTTCAGGAAAATAACTCAAAATTGCAGCTGCAGTTGTTTCATCAAATATTGCCAATGCAAGGTTGATATCTTGTTTGTTATTTCCAGGATGAGTGACCTGATAATTAATTTTCCTTGCTTTTTTTAAGTTCCCATTTAATAATATAAATTTTATAAGATAAACTCCATGCTATGTAACCAGCAGGAACTTCAATTTTGTCTTTAAGCAAACCAAATAAAATTAAATTAAAACATATTTTTTTGCATTGAACAAGTTATTTCTAACATTTTTTATTAAATGGATTATATCGAATTATAAGTATGTTTTTAATACACCATTATAAACTGGACGACATAAATAATTTTCCATTTCCAGTATATGCATTATGAAACTCTAAAAAAGCATTTAAATTGGTATAATGATCTGCGACAACAGTTCTTACTTTAAATTTAGATTGGTACAATGTGGTAATACACTTATCAATATCTTTTTTTAACCATGAACCTGTTATATACACTTCAGGTAATAATCTCACAACATAAGCAATAGATTTTTGAAGCCCAACAATTATAAAAACAACATTACTTTATAAAGATTACTTTCTGCATCTTCACCAACATATTTACCACTTTGATATTGCACTGCTTTTTGCAAATATATCTCATCCAAAAGAAGCACACAGTCATTTGATACACAATTTTTTTGTAACAAAACATTTATAGGCTTAAATGCATTTGTATCACCACTTTGAATTTTTCTTAATAAAATAAAAGATGGTATCGGCCATTGTAATAACAACAACTTATATGACTGTGCTGAAGTGTGATGTAAAGTGCATAACATATAATTGAAGCATAATATAGTGGTCTGCCTTGTGGAGAATCTTATTTCATTTAACTCAAAATTGAATTAAAAGCATTAGCTTTATTTCATATATGAGCAGGAAAATTTTACTACAGTTTGTTAATTTGCAATTATGACCACTGCGACACCATTCAGGTAAAGAAATATGATATTATTTCTAGGATAATGAAGCGTTAAGATTTTCATTAACTGTTATTGTCTCAAACACAGTTGGTATACCTGATATTTAATCAAAACAGAGCTTATAGTAAACAACACTATTATGAAGTTTCTTAAATGTAAATCTTTGTGGCAATGCTGTTCTGTTAACAAATCAAGACTAATTATTTTATCCACATTTCGAAAATCACTGAACTCATCTTTTCCCAAGTACCTTGAAGTTTATTCTTTTCTGGGCAACATTGGCACCCTTAAAGTTAATGAATCTGTGTTAATAGTTAGAACAGGTTGGAGATCCCATTTCATGTTGCATCTTTTCCCATTTTTGATAAATATATCCTCGATATGATCAACACAAATAGCAGAGTATTTAGATGGAACCCAAACTTTTCTATTGACAAAATATATCCATCTTTCTCACAAATTGCTTTCTACAGGAAAATGAAATGTAGACTTTTTGGACCAGTAGAGAAGCCAGTTTTACAGTTTGTGGCAACACATTTATTAATCATTTTTAAAACTAAAAAAAAATTTAAAAACTACAATAATATTGAGCTTTCTTACATTTTTTATTGAAATTATCTCCACTTGAATAACATTGCATAAAAAAGCAGTTCAACTATATACAACTTACTAAGTAGACTATTTGTGTGTTTATTTCATTATTACACTCTCTAATGGATTATAATGAAGCAGACAATCAGTCAGAATATAACTAAAAATACATATTACATGAGTATGAAAGCATAAACCAAACTTTGATATAATAATTGTAATAACCGCATCTTTTTAATTATTAAATATTGTTAATCGTCTCATAATAGAAAATCATCTGTAAAAAAACTGGCATCTTAATTTTTTGCGGAAAATGCAACAAATCAGGCAGTGTAATTATAGTAGTCCATGATACTTATATAGTTATAATTTATTACTTTACTATTCCATTAAAATCTTAGTTTTTTCTATTATAACTTTTTGTTTTAGGGAGTTAAGACATAGCAATTTACAGGAGTTTCCAGAGAGCATTGTTTTCAGTTTGCCAATGTTACAATCTCTGTAAGTTAGTATGTTTTTGTATTTTTGCTTTTCCACTTTTGCAGCAAGTATTATTTTTATTAACACATATATTTTCATCTGTATTTTTTATTATGCTGTATTTTTATTAAAATAATTTTATTTTGCTTTTGTGTTTTTGTTTTTTAAATTCTTATTTATCTTTAAGAAATATTTTTGACAATGTTTTTACATGTGGGTGCTCAATATTATGGCTTTACAAGGAAAGTTGGATTCAGCGGTTTTGGTCAAATGATATAAATTTTCATCAATTTTTGTGCAGAGACAAAATAACTTTTCATTTATATTATTTGTCAAAAACAAACAGTACAGAAATTTGCAGTAAGTTTTTGTTTTATCTTAAAGTATATGATTGCTTTAACTATTTAATAATGGAGATAAAATTATTATGGAGACAAAATTGTATTAAAAAAAATACTAATGGAGATAAAATAATATAGATAAAATTTATTTATATATAAAAATAGTTCCAACGTGGAGTGAATGGTCACCATGTCTCTCAACTTGTAGTGATAACTTCAAAGATCAAAGCAGAAGTGCAGATTGCATAGTTGATAATGCCAACTGTAAAGATGGGAAGTTTTATGAAGTGAGAAAGTGTGAGGCAAAGGGATGCTCTGGTTAGATAGTATCATTTGTTTTAATTGTTATTGCTTTTTTTTATTTTATTATTGGTCAGTTTTTTATTAAAATTTTGTTATTACTAGTTGGATCTGTGTTGTTGCACTTGAACCAACATCCTCATTACCATACCTCCTGTATTATTTTTTTAAAACTGTTTAGCAATATTTTTTTGAAACACCATAGCAGATAATATCTAGATCATATTAGATACTTGATAAGATGGTTGTAGTAGTATATAGTAGATGGTTGATAAGCTGCCTAATGGGAAGTCTTAGAGAACATTTGCTGCAGCTTAGTCAGCAAAGATAACTTGTTGAAAAAAAAAATATTTTCCCACTAGGGAAAAATATGATTAATAATTAGATTATATACTGCAGAAAAGAAAATTTCAATTATTTGTGTCAGTTTTTTGGTTAACTTAACTTTTTCAATTATTTGTCAATTATGCAGCATTTGCTCAGAAAATCTTTATTTCTGCATATAGGTAAAGAATAAAAAGGGACTATAAAGAAGTTGTGTTTCAACAAGTTTCAACATCTTCTGTCGAACAAATGATATTAGATAGTACTTGTGTCACTTGTTCAAAATATGAAAAAGTTAGCAAGTTAAAAAGCACTAGAAATCAGAGAAAATTTATAAAAATTAAAAAATAAAATTATAGATTATATGCAATACAATTTTTTTCTTTAAAATCATTGAAAATTAGTTATGCTGAAAATTAATTTTGAAAAAGTTTAAGTGAGTTACTCTGGGTATTTCAATTATCAGTTTTTTTTTTTTTCTTTTTTGGTTGATTTTTGATGGTTATTTAATTTCTTTCTTTTTTGGCTTTGCGAATATCTGGTTTCTCATTCTGTTAAGAGTTCACATACTTTTCTAATAATTTAAAACATAGTTATATATCTACAAAGTTAAATCTTGGTGGTTTTATAACCTTTTTTTTTTAATTGGTTTTTTAACTCATGTTATTTAGTTATGTAGAAACAATAGAGGAACTTGGTAAATAAAAAAGAAGGAAAAAAATATTTTTTATTTGAAACACATTACTATATGAAATTTTGGTAATATGAAATAAAGTACATTATAATAAAGGAGAATTAATTTTCGAACAAAGCATATTTTGACAGTTGTTAAGACAAAAATAAAAATTAATAAAGGAATATTTAAAAATAAATAAAACAGACAATGCACCTAATACAGTACTTAACAATAATAATAATAATAATGAAAAAAAAAAATTGTTTCATAAACACTAAGATATACAACAAATATATCATCAGACAAAAAACTTATAAAACAAAAAATTGATTACAAAATAAAAAGTATGCTAACAACAATGTAAGACCTCAGAATGGAAAAAAAACATGCTGATGTGTAAACATATTTTGTGTAGTGATTAAGTAATAAACATCTCCTCAGATTCGTGTTATTGTTACTGGCGTTTCAATGAGGATCAGCATTTATAAGTAGTTTATCCCGTCAGACAAACGTCATAGCCATTTATGCTTAACCCCGTGATTTACGCCTATTCCATACTGCAGTAAAAAAGGACTCACTACAAATAGCCAAAACCCAACCAACCTCAAATTTGTAAAGCACCAATATTTTTTTGATGATATGATAAATTTTTTTAAACTTTTTCAAATATTAATGAAAAATTTATTATTAGGGGGCATTCATAAAGTACGTACACAGTAAAGTCACTGATTTAGTACCCCTCTCCCCCTTGTACCAACCTGTACGCTTTTGAAGACATACCTCCCCTCCCCCTCCCCCTTTGCATACGTACGCATTTTTTTTTTTTTTAAATTAACTCTATTTTTTTTTCTCATTATTTATAAAGAATTAAAAAAAAATTGTAACTGAAGTCAGAAAAAAAAACACAATTATAATTTGTTACACTCGTAAAATCAATTATTTTTTAAAAAAAAAAAAACTTTCGCATATAAAATTTGCTAAATGGTTACACGCGAGCAGTGAATGCCTGAGGGAAGAAATAAAGTACATTAGAATAAAAGAGAGTTATTTTTCGAACAAAGCATTTTTTGACAGTTCTTAAGACAAAAATAAAAATTAATAGAGGAATATTTAAAAATAAATAAAACAGAAAATGCACCTAAAACAGTACTTAACAATAATAATAATGATAATTTAAAAAAAATTGTAACTGAAGTCAGAAAAAAAAACACAATTCTAATTTGTTACACACATGAAATTCAATGTTTTTTTTTAAAAAAAAAAAATCATGTTTAGGATAGTCAAACCACGTGCGTACTCTTCGTCTTTAACACCCCCTCCCCCTTAACGCTTTTGGGGAACCCCCCCCTCTCCCCCTCCCCCATACTTGCATACGTACTTTATAGATGGCCCCTTATTACAATTATTATTATTCCTATTATTATTATCATTACTATTATTTGTGTTAAAAAAAAAATAATAATAATTTACATCTTTTTCGACTCGTAGAAATCAGTAATCTAGTCAATGAAGGTTGGTCATTGTGGTCGTCATGGTCTCCATGCTCTTCAACCTGTGGGGTAGGTCGAATGTCAAGACAACGAATATGTAATAATCCTACGTTCAGAAGTGATAGGCTGTGCCTTGATGATAGTTTGCAATTTGGGCCTTGCATATCTGAACCTTGTCCTAGTAAGTTTAAAATGTAGATTTGGTGCATAATAACAATGGTTTGCTTAATTAATTATTTTTTAATAAATTAATAATTTTGATAAAGTAAAAAGTTAATACATAATAATAGCACAAAATATATAGTTTTTTATTATTATATTATTATAGCACAAAAATAATCTACTTATCTCACTAATTAATAAATTTATAATGGAGACAAAATTATATTAGAAATAAAATAAATCTCACATTACACACTCACTAATATTTTAGTGCAAAAATTTCTGCATTATTTCTCACTGCACATATTTTTGTACAAAAATATTATCTCATTGCAAAGTCATGTGGTTAATTGAAGCTAAAGATGGGTGACTAATTGATGCTAAAATCAAACCCATTTTGCTGTCACACACTTTTCCACTCTTCCATACATCATTGACAAATAATCAACAGTATTCATATACTGTTATAACAGTATTTGTATACTGTACAGACAAAAAAAATGTGTTTACCCACATTTCCTATTGATTGTCTGAACAAGAAATGTATCTACTTATGTAGATACATTTCCTATTCAGAAAATGAATAAGAAATGTGGGAAAACACATTCTTTTTTGTCTGCAATTAGAAAGCACATGTTGCAGACAAAATATTTCTAAAAACCATGTTTTTCCCTTAATTTGAGAGAATGATTTCCTTCTAATTATTTTAGTTTTGCAACATAGTTCTTTTAAATATTTGTACTGTGGGCTTTTTAAAGTACTGTTGTGATGCTGAATGAACAAAGAAAAGTGAACTAATGTGGTTGTAAGTTTCTTCATATTGAAAATTTTTACTTTGATGAGAATTTAAGGGCTTTGAACAGTTTATAAAAGCTCTTAAAGAAAAAGTGGGGGAAAATTGCAGAAGTGATAGAAAGACTAGACAGCTGCTGTTTGCAGGAGATGTTATAAAAAGGTGTTAAATTAAATGAGTGTGATTTATTGCTCAAAGGCAAGGAGTTGTGGCAAGAATGAAAATATTTCCTTCTCTTAGTCTTTAATTAAGCAAAAGTTGAAGAAGTGTTTTAACATTAATAAAAATCACAGTGCAAAAGAACAAATAACTTTCTATTTACTAAATGATTTTTGGAATAAGTAATTAATGGACAATCCCATACCGAAAGCGGGTTTTATTAATTCACCAACGCTGTTAGCTTAGAGTTAATCAGTGCCATTAATTTACGTTATTAAATATATAACTAAAGTTATATTGCCCAATCAGTTAGTAAAAATATACCAGTGGTGTCAAATATTTAAGACCAAAAAATGTGATTTTTTTTTTTTTTTTGGGGGGGGAGAACCCATAAATTGGAACCATAGTCATAGTTGTATTGTAAAATTTTGTATTGTAAAAAAAAAGTTGTATTGTAAAAGTTGTAATGTAAATTCAGGTTATTGCAGACAATGACTTTTCTAATTTTCTAAGAGCAATGATTCTTACATTTTTCTAAAAGGGTCTGATAAAGGTAACAATAAATATACTCATATAATTAGAAATACAATAAATAATTTCAGTTGAAACAGAAAGTAAGATGAACTTTGCACCGTTAGAACTAAAACAAGCAGAAGATCATGCAAAGGGAGTTTCCAGTAGTGTGCATATTGCAATAGGCTTTGGTCTCTTTGGATTCTTTATTGTTGTGGTTGCAGTTTATATGAAGTGCAAAAAGTGAGTATGCTTATTGATATGAACACATATACATATATATATATATATATATATATATATATATATATATATATATATATATATATATATATATATATATATATATATATATATATATATATATATATATATATATATATATATATATATATATATATATATATATATATATATATATATATATATATATATATGTATATGTAAACGTTTTTTTGACTTTTTATTTTCTATACAGCAAAAAAATTGTTTTTAGGGTATCAAAAAAATGCAAATAAATTAAAATAACCATTATATGAATAGCGCAATTTCTTTTTTCTTATAATAAATTAAAATTAACAGTTTTTTATAACTATTATTTTTTAAGTAGAAAAAAGTATTGTTATGGTAAATAAAGGAAATAAACAATCATTTTCAATATAAAGTCATTTTTCCGACCTAATAGGAAATTTGTAGAACATAAAAGAACTCTGAATGCTTATACTTTATTATAGCAACAATTTTTCTCAAGCCATTCAGATGGAGACGAAGACAAAAAGAGATTGTGATGCCTTTAAAGCCATTTAGGAAGACATTTGAGAAATATAAGCCTGTCATTAAGTTACCATGACAGATGTGCGAAACAATAAAAAGTACTTGTAATCTTTATGAATTATTTATCAGAAAATTACTTAGAGATACAGCATTGCTTTAAGATCATTTTTTTAAGATTATTTTTATTGCAATATTATAATCTAACTCTATAATTGGTTTTAATATATATAAATATATATTATAATCAATATATATATATATATATATATATATATATATATATATATATATATATATATATATATATATATATAAGGGCGTATTAAGGGTTTCTGGGGCCAGAGGCACAAATAGTTTGATGGGCCATTTCGACTAAAGAAAAAATAATAGACATGTAGAATTTAATATTTCAGCCATGTATTTAAAAATTAAAGTGACATTTTCTAGATTTTTGTCTGGTAAATTGTTCAACAATACCATCAAATTAGAGTTGTCTGGTCACCTCACTTTCAATACACATCAAAAAAGCATATTGAGCCGCATTGATTACTTCTAGTACAGCATTTATTTTTATACGCTTCAATTGCTTTATTCAATCTTTGCATTATAGTGTCCCAAAAGACAGTTAAAGTACCAGTTTTCAATTCACCAAGACGTTTTGCTAGTCCAAACACCTCTTGTCAAGTTTCACCTTTTGTAAGTTTATCAGTTGCAATGATATCTAGAACGTACTGAATATTCTCGAAATCTTTTCGCAAAGCACTTGTTGCATCAGCATGTGCTGACCAATGTGTGTCTGATAGTTTTTTAGGCACTGGTATTTTCTCTTTGCCTAGCGCTTTTGTCAGGGTTGTCCATCGATGAGTGGAGGCACTAAAAAATGTGTAGATCCATTGCACAATATTAAAGAAACCATCTGTGGCACTACAACAACCAACAGCATTTTTGCTAATTAAGTTTATTGAATGAGCAAATCAAGGTGTGTAAATAGCATATTTACAAACAGATAAAATATGAGCCTAAACACCGTTGTAACATCCAGACATATTCAATGCATTATCATACGTCTGACCACCACAGTTGCCAATGTCAATATTAATTTCTTCTAAGAACTTCAATAATGCATTTGATAATCCAATTCCAGTGTGACTTTTAAGCTTAATGAATGTCAAATAACGTTTAATTGTTTCACCTTGGTCGTTTTAAATTTTCTTTTTTTGTTTTCTAAAACTTTAATTATTTTTTGTTTGTTTTTTGTTTTGTTGTTGTAAAAAGAATCTGCTTTTGCGGAAGTTACTGCAGCAAACTTCAACTCTCAACTTAGTTGAGTTGAGTTAAACTAGGGACGTATAAATAGATGGACGTTTAACCGATTTTGCATAAAAATAACGATGGTCTCGCATAGCCAATTAAATGTTAAAATATTAAAAAAAAGTGGGTCAAACTGAACACCTTTTTACTATTTTCACTATTTGTTTATATATTCTTATGTAGTTTTTTATTCTATCTAATAAAAAAATTTGAAAATTTAAAAAGTTGTTTTTTTATTAATGATAAGTGAGCGGTTTAACCCAGTTTTACCCTCTGTTCATGATATTAAATACTTCAAGTACACGATTTAAAATATTTCAAGTGAAAAAATTGTGATTTTTAAAAAAGTGTGTTAACAAAGTTTGAGAACCAAATGATTCAGGGGCCAGAGGCACGGGCCTCAGTTATAATCCGTCCCTATATATATATATATATATATATATATATATATATATATATATATATATATATATATATAAATATATATATATATATATATATATATATATATATAAATTCCAATTCCAATGGATCTTTTAGAATTGTCAGTAAGATTCACTCTGTATATCGAACTTTTTTACTTACTGACGTGTAAAAATCTCATTAAGCCGTCATAATTATTTTTCAAATTTTGAATGTTATCAGTTTTTGAAAAACAGTTAGTATAAATTAACTTCTAATGTTAAAAAAAATCATGGCATCAAAGAGATATAAAGAAAACAATTTAAAGCAAAAATAAAAAACTCTTATGGAATTA